GAGTGCCAAGTGTACATATAAAACAATTTGAAAGAAAAAAAAATATCCATAATTTAATTTAAATTATAAATATATTATTAACATTTTTCGAATCCAAAGCAGAGAGAAAACGAATATAATAATTTTTACTATACTTTCATGGTAAAAGTTAATAACTCAAATAAATTTTATTTAAGTCAAATAAATTGTATTTAAATACTTTATTACTAATTATTTATTTATTAGTAATAAGATATTTATTACTTTATTATTAATTATTTTAATTATCGGTTCAATTAAACCAATAATTCCAGTATTTAAAACACATATCATTAAATAATTATTATTATTAATCATTAAATAAAAATTATTTGATTCAAGTAAATATTTATTTTATAATAGACATTTAATCGGTTATTTGAATAAAATAAATTTTTAGTAAAGATGTGAACTTGTTTTTGGATTTTTTTAAATTTATGTAGTAAAGATTTTTTTTCTTTTTCTAAATTTTTTTTCAGTGAATAAATTTCAAATGGTACATTTTTTCTTATCTTCTGGAAGTATTAGAAAAAAAAGGTCTTTCAAAAGTCTTCGGCTACAGAAGAAGTTGAATTTAAAAAAATTACAACTTCCATAATTTTCATGCAATAAGAAAATAAAAAAATACGTGTTTTCTTAATTTTTACATAAAATTCGAAAAAACTGATTCCAGACAAAAAGAAATTTTTAATGAAAATTTGATCTGGAATGACCCACATGATTTTTTTGGACTTTTTCCAACTATTTTCAAAAAGAGTCGATTTTTTCGACTAATTTTCAAAAAATAAGACTTTTTCGACTTTTCCTTCAAACATTGCTATAAAATACCACTTTTTTGGTATAAAATGCAATTTATTTCAATTTTTAATTTTTTATAGTGTGAAAAATAACTACAATCGAATCCCTCGAAAATTTATTTTTGAATATTTTTGTAAAATTAAATTAAATTCTTTGAATATATAATTAAAAAGTTTTTAAATAATTGAATGTTTTTCAAACCTTAATTAAAATAATTCATTTTTTTATATATTTCATTATAAAATCTTTTGAAAATCAAATTTTGAAGAATTTTTATTGCAAATTTCGAAAATAATTAAATTCTCGAAAAATTTTAATGAAAAATCTTCAAATAAAAATTGAATAATATTTAGCTTCAAAAAATTGTATTTAAATATTTAAAAAAGAAAATAGAAGATTATTTTTTTACATCTTCTATAATTTTTTTTTAAATATTTTATTTTGGTTAAAACAAAAAATAAGTTTGAAAATTTTTAAGTTTGATTGAAACTTAAAAGTTGATTTATATAAATAATTTAAAATCAAAATTTGTGCTTGAATGAAATATAAATCGTTTTCTCGAAACGATTTATATTTAATTTATAACTTATAACGATTTTATTTATAAATTAATTTGTAAATATTTGATTATTATTATAAATATGATTTCACTTGTTCACGGTAGAAATAATCTTTCTACCAAAGTTTCTAGATCAACTAAAATGCCATTCAATAAATAATTAATTAATTAATTAATTAATTATTAGCTCGCCAGTTCTATCATAGTTTGCTTATGGGGTATGATCATCATTTTGAGTAACACTGATCATATCAAATAATTCAATCACTGTATGTAATTAATTATTTCATACCTGCTCGAACAGTCTTCACGCATTCTGCGTTAAATTCAATTATCAATATGGAATTTTACTCTCAAATATTTATATATATATATATATATATATATATATATATACTTTAATAAAAATTAACTATATTTATTTGAATCGAACATATAATTATCTTTATTATACAGTCAATCAAAAATTATTTTTGAATTAAACAATCACAATTTTTTCAAGTTTTGCAAATTGAGACAAAAAACGAATAAAAATGTTGCTTCGCAACACTTTTACTTCGTTTTTTGTCTCAATTTGCGAAAATTTTAATTCTTACTTTAAACGATTTTCTTTTTGAAATTTAATGGAAATTTTTCATTTTTTAAAAATTGTAATTTTTCTAACATAGCTTTTCTTTAAATTTAAAAATAATTAAGAATTATTTGAACGAATCGTAAAAATCACCAAGATATGGATTTCTAACAATTTAAATGTAAAATATTTTTATTGATTAAATAATTGAACTTTCGAGTACCACTCAAACATCTTAGTATAATAAGTTTAATTCTAAATTTTTTTAAAATGCAATTATTTTCCAAATTTTCAATTAAAGTTCCTCAAAAATACGATTATATTTCAAAATAATTTTTATAATAATAATTATAATTTATTAATTATTATTATTTTAATTTTAATATTATTTATTATTTATAATATGTTATAATAATTTTTATAAAAGTAAGCAAATAAAATTTATTAAAATAAAATATCTATTTCAACGAAATTTGACAAAATTTTCAATTGTTTCAATTTTTATAAAAATTATTTTTATTATCTTCGGAGCGCGTCACTATTATAAATATTTTAATTTAACTATAGACTTTTACTATTTTACTATACTTTTTTTTATTAAATTATAAAAATTATTATTAAATTATTTGAGTAAAAATTATTTTTTAGATAAAATATGTTAAAAATGTATTTATATACATAATTAAATAAAATAAAAGTAAGTAAATAAATTGGAATAAACTTTGGAATTAGTTCGGCCTTTCAAATTAAAAAAGTCATTATATAACTTTTTCGACTGTGTGTGCTATATATATATGTATATGAAAATTGTGGAAAACTGCGCGGGGAAAATTGATGAAGGTTTCCACTTTTATATATATAAAACCTCAAAAATCACATTCGCAGGTGCTTAACAGAGCGTTTCAATCGGCAAGGTTTCAGTCTCGGTTGCTTATCACTAAACCGCATTGACAGTTCGACCATTAATCAATTTCCCATTCCCTCATCCACTCAGTGAGAATGTCTCGTAATTCTGTTTCGTGGTTCTGCCATATAGAACTTTTCTTTTTTTCCTACTGACACTTCTCATTTCTTGTTTTGTTTTTCGTATTAATTCTCATTTTTTCCCCAAAAATATATAAATAAACCCACAAAATTTCGTTCCTAGTTCATGAAAATTTTTTTCAAATTTTTTCAAATTTCAAAATTGAAAAAATATTTCCGAGAATAAATATGTACGTCTTTTCGATTTTTATCAATATTTCTAGACAAAGAATTTTCAACTAAAAAAGTTTTTATTATTTTGATAAAGAGAATAAACCCTGTTTGTATGCAACCCGACGTACATTAAAGTATTTTCCCCCTGGGGTCGTTATCACTTATTAAATAATTTTTCTTTCTAAATATTTTCAATTTTAAAATTAATGTATAGTACTGGAAATCATCGAATTGTTGCAAAGAATTTTATCAAAAAATTTGATAATGTAATAGAATTTCTTCGCAAAGAATTTTATTCTTAGGAAAATAAATGAATTTTCGCGAAGAATTTTGTTAAAATTTTTCAAAAATTCTAATTAAATTCTTTTTTTGAATTTTTTTTGAATTTTTTTTTAAATAATACAATTTCTTTATTAATTTTAACTTAAAATTTTGAAAATAATTGAATTTTATGAACAATTTCTTTTAAGTTTTTAAAATAATTGTGTTTGTTAATAATTTAAATTGAACATTTAATTATTGAATTTTATTAAAATTTTAGAAAATAATTGAATTCTTTAAAAAAATTTTATACCAAATTAAGAAAAAAATTGAATCCTTCAGTGAATTTTTTTTTGAAAAAAATTGCATTTTTGCAAAAAATTTTACTATTTATAAATATAATTGAATATTGTTTCAAAGGATTTATTAAAATTTTAGAAAATAATTGAATTTTTTCGAAAAATATTATTATGAATTAAAAAAAAATTTTATTGTTTCATGAAATGTTATTAAAATTGAATAAAAAATAATTGAATTTTAGCAAATAATTTTACTATTTTTTAAATAAAATTGAATTGTTTTGAAAAATTTATTAAAATTTTTAAAAATAATTGAATTAGGTATCGAAAAATATTATTAAACATTTTTTTAAAATTATGCATTTTTGCAAAGAATTTTACTATTTATAAATATAATTGAATTTTTTCGAAGAATTTATTAAAATTTTGGAAAATAATAGAATTTTTTCTAAATCTTTTATAACGAATTAAGAAAAAAATTGAATTCTTACGTGAAATTTTTTAGAAAATAATTGAATTTTTACAAAGATTTTATAAAGAATTAAGAAAAAAATTAAATTCTTTCGTGCAATTTTTTTTTAAAATAATTGAATTTTTGCAATAAATTTTACTATATTTATAAAAATAATTGATTTCTTGCGAAGAATTTTATTAAAATTTTAGAAAATAATTAAATTTTTTCAAAAAATATTAGTAAAATTTAAAAAAAAAATTGAAATGTTTCATGCAATGTTCTTAAAATTGTATTAAAAATAATTGAATTTTAGCAAATAATTTTATTATTTATAAATAAAATTGAATTGTTTCGAAAAATTTATTAAAATTTTAGAAAATAATTGAATTTTTTCGAAAAATATTATTAAAATTTAAAAAAAAATTGAATTGTTTTATGCAATGTTATTGAAATTATATTAAAAATAATTGAATTTTACCTAATAATTTTATTATATATAAATAAAATTGAATTGTTTCGAAAAATTTATTAAAATTTTGGAAAAAAATTGAATTTTTTTAAAAGTTTGAATCTGAAATTATTCAAAAATTCATATGTTAAAATAAAAAATTGTGTAATTTGCATAATAATAATAAATTGAAAATCACGTTCCGTGTGTATCATTTGCTAGTTAATTAATAATTAAAACAAGTTTACGTTTAAAAGTACTAATAAAATATTTGTACGAATTCTTTAGTTCGAATTCTCCCGCCTTTCTTCACGCGTTACCAACTGACGAATCAAAAGATCAAAAGGATTTCAAGCCTACTTGTCTGAAGTTATGTTAAAGTCGATATTTCCGGTTTCCCCTCTTACTACACCTCAATGTCAGCACGCTCCATTTTGCCAATACTTTTCTATTCCAGTCGGCTTGTTTTATATTAAAAAAAGAAAATAGTGGCTGGTAGTGCAATCGAGAAAAAATTTCTATTTATAATGTAATCTTTATATGTATTTATTATCTGTCGTGTGGCACAATAAACTTGCAGCAATTCGACAGTAAGTACATATTTCCAGCTAAACTTGTTTGCTGACGATCTACTTTTGATTTACAATATAACTTGTAGAATGGCCGCATCTCTGATGTGTGATTTTCGTATTTTCTTCTCATCCACACTGTTTGCAGTGTAAAAGAAAGTTTGTAATTGCAATGTTTTTGGTTTATATAATTCTATGGGGAAATAGTATGGAAAATTTTTAATATACTCCCTTATCAATTATCAATAGTGTCGAAGTTATGTATTACGTGTAACCTCCTGTTTGAAATTTTACGACCGGCAAATATTTTCTCGTGCATTTTTTCCTCAATAGCGAGCATCTGTTGATATAACCTAAAAGTTAATTTAATTCCACGTTCATGAAATTCGTTGTTTTGATTATTTTCAAATAGTATTTGTATTTTTTTGATATTTCAGAAGAAATATAAAAATACAAAAAGATGGAGTCAGACTCGAGACGGAAAAGAAGTCCGAGTGAGGATTCCGACGATGGACATCGGCGAAGATCACGAAAATATGACAGATCTCCTTCTCCGAGGAGATCTAGGTATAGAAGATCACGATCTAGGGATCGTCGATCTCGATCTTCCTCCAGAGACAGAAGAAGGGAGAAATCAAGCAGATCACAAGATTGGAATAAAGTATCTTCTGCCACATCGGCATCGTCAACGGCTGCTGCAAATCCTGCGGGATATGTCCCTCCCCAGGTACCATACCAGGTAAATAGAAAATTAATTTTTACAAATACAAATACAAAATTAATTTTTACAAATTTACAAATTTTCTCATAAAAGAAAAATAAAATTCTTTCCAAAATACTTAGAAAGGGTTTTTTATTTTCTTCTAGGCTCCGCCTCCACCAAATACATCGCAACCTCCACCACAACTTGGCACGTACGCTTCCGGCTACAGTAGTTACAACTACAATTATGGTCAGGGCTACGAATATTCTTATCAACAACCTCCCGGTTATCGCAGCGTAAGTTACCTAGTCTTAATAAATTATATATCTTTATTAAGATATACATTTATGGTCTTTTCTATTTGAAAATACAAAATTTGTCTTTTTTTCGGTGTTTCAAAAAATTTTCCAAGAATAATAGAATTTGGTAATTAATAATTTTGAAAATTTTTAATTCAAGATTTTGATTCATTCACTGGCGGTAGAATTACGTAGGTGAAGTTTACAACGTTTATGATCGACGATTTAGAAGAAAAATTTTTTTTCGAGGCAAATTTTTAGTTTTTTGTATAGAAAACATTTTTACAAAGTTTCTTAATTCAGCAATTTTTGGAAATGAATTTTTAAACAAATAAATTTTTATCTTCCTTCTGACGAATATAACTTTCGGCAGGTGGTCACGTTTTATGATAAATATTTTCTTATCCTTTTTTTCTAAAAAGAAACGATTTCTAATGAAATTGGTTTTTTAAAAAATGATTTTCTAACAAGTTCTGATTTCTAAAAAACATTTTTTTTACAATTTCTGAAAAATTTAGATATTTAATATTTATTTTTTTGGAATTTGTGAAATTAAAAAAAATTTTCTAAACACATTATTTATAATTATTTTTAAGAGTGAAAAAATTTTGAAAAATATTGTTTCATTTAATTCTTTCTTCCTTGAATCGAAAATATATATTAATAATTATTTTTAAGAGTATTTTTAAATAAATTTTTTACTAAACATTTTTGTTGTGATAAGCATTTTTCTTGCTGCGAATTTATAAACTTGAAATTTAAAAAAATGCTTAATGTTAACACAATTTTGAAATCATACAAAACAACTGTTTAAACTTATCGTATTAAGTTGAATGCAAATGCGATTCACAAGTTTTGAACTTTCTCGTCAAAATTTCAATTATCTTTATAATTAATAAAATTCTTCTCCAAATTTCAATTACATATTTTCAAAAATTTTCCTCAATTTAATGATTTTTAATATCTATTTTAATAAAATTTTCCAAATAAATTCAATTAGGTAGTAAAGAAAAAAATTTTTATAAAATTCTACACAAAAATTTAATTATTTTCATAAATAATATAAATTTCACAAAAATTCAATTAATTACAAATTTTTTATATAGGTATTTTTTTTAAAAAATTTTTTTAAATTCTCGTCAAAATTTCAATTTTCTTTATAAATAATACCTAAAATTTTTCTCCAAAGTTCAATTATTTCCAAAAAATTTTCTCTATTCAATCATTTTTTATTTTATTTTTTATTTTAGATAATTTCAATTTCGAATGAATTCGATGAGAAATTTAAAAACAAATTAATTTATAAAAATTTTAATAATTCAAATTCTTTTGAAATTATTTGCTTTTTTCAAATATATTTAATTAATTATTAAAAATAATAGATTTATAGAAGAATTTTAGTTTTAAAAAAACTAAAAATATTGGATTTTGGAGAAGTTTCAAATAATTATTGCAGAAATTCAATTATTTTCATAAAGAATAAAATTGTTTCTAGGAATTTAATTATTTTTATAATGAATAAAACTCATCGCAGAATTTCAATTATTTTTAATACAATTTTAATCAAATTCTTCGAAAAATGCAATTTTTCTTCAAAATTTTATTAAAATTCTTCGAAAGAATTTAATTATTTAAAAATTTGATAAAATTCTTTATGGAAATTTAGTTTTAAGAATCATTGAATTATTCAATAAATTATTTACTTTTGAATTTAAACAATTGAATTCTCGTAGAATTTTCTAATAAAAATTGATTTTAAAATGAATTTTAATTAAAATTTTAGATAATAATTGAATATTACAAGCAATGTAGCGTAAATTTTGAAAAGGTTTCAAATTAAAATCTTTGAAAATTTTATATTTTTAACTGACAATTCTGTAGAATTAACTTTTTTGGAAAAGTTTCATTGATTTTGTTTTAAAATTATTTGAATTTTGTATTTTCTTATATTTATTTAATTGAAGAATTTCCGAATAATCGAATTTTGTAAAATTGAATTATAATCAAATGGATTTGAAGATTCTCAAAGAACTTTTTTCAAAAATTATTTAAAATAATTGATTTAAAGAGGAATTTTAGTTAAAAATTTTAGAAAATAATAATTGAATTGAAATGATAAAAATAATGTTGAAGAAGTTACAGTGACAATATTCTTATAATATAAAATAATTGTTTTATCACTCGGATATTTTTAATTATCATAAAACACGAAGAAATCGAAGACTCGGAGTGTTTGATATTTCGTGTTTTATAACAATATTCTTACAGGTTGTTGAATATCAAAAACTTTTTAATTTTTAGAGTGAATAAAAATATTCACTTATTGTCATTATTAGTTGAAATTCCATATTGTTAGAAAAAGAAATTATAGAAATTGAATATTGTTAGAAAATAAAATTTTGGAAATTTATTTTCATTAGAAAAAAAATATTTAGAAAATGAAAAATTAAATAATGCGTTCTAAGGAAACTACCCCCATTTTCATTTTTTTAAACATGGCTCAAATACGTTGTGAACTTCACCTACAGAGAGTAAATTATTAAATACTAATTGTAATTTAATATTTAACCGTCCGGTTCCATTTTCATTTATTCGGAAAATATAAAACAAAACTTCCTTGGAAAAAAATTTTTTTGAAACACTCTTCTACCGTTAATTTTTCTCATAGTTTACATTTATTATTATTTTTGACAAAAAGGAAAAAGAAACTTCTCATTTAACATTAGGAGGTAGAACTTCGACTTGCGTGAAAACAATCTGAGCGCATCGTGTGAAACTAGTGGGTAAATTTATAAAAAGAAAAAGAAAATTGTCAATCAAAGAAAGCGCTTTAATTTCCTTAATACTGGGTTAGTCGCGACGTGTTTACAATTACGAGAAAGGGCACAATTAAAATCATCGAATAATGTTTTCGATTGATATAGTGATTTTTTACAATGAACACAATGCTTTTTTCTTTCGTATATTACCAATATTACGAAGCGTTTTAAGTGTAAGTATGATATTCGCGTTATTTATTGTTTTTTTACTGATGATCATCATCTTGCGGATTACCGAAAATAAAAGGCCGTTTTCTACTTTTGAAGATTCTTCACTGTTTATCCCAAAAAATTTCCTGATTTCAAAAAGGATGTAAAAAGGTAAGGTTTTGTGGAAAATTCATAAGGGATCGGTGTGAATAAGGGAAAACATTCATTTTTCTAGGACTATCCGCCACCAAATTGGCCAGGAAATCAAGTACCATATAATAATCAACAAGCACCACCACCGCCAACGCTCTCCAGTAATCAGGAGCAATCACGTAACGTTGAACCAGTTCCACCGGGAATGGTACCACCATCGTTACCAAGACCAGAAGATGCTAAGAAAGAAGGTGCGTAATTTTTTATATTCTAATTTCATGAAAATTATATAAATTACTAATGTATTTACTTCTAGATACTTTTTTTAAAGATTGCATCCTTTCGTGCAAGTAACAGTTTTACTGCGACATTTTTTACAATATTGAATAGTATCGAATAAGAATTATTCGGAAAAGAATTTTTTTGATTTTAATTATTAGATTTTTTAAAGTCTTTACTAACAAAGTAAATTTAATACAGATGATAATTAGAAATATCTTAATTTAAATTTTTTATTTTGTACTAAATAACTTTTTCATCCCATCATTCATTATCTTCAATGCCTTACGAATTGATCATCGAGCAGCAATCGCAGCTGAAGTGAAACAACAAAAAGCAACGCTAGCGAAACAACGTGAAGAATATGTGAAGAAATCGGCAACACTTCAACGCGAATTGGAAATATTGAGGCAGCAATGCGACGAAATCGGCAAGGAAGGCGGATGCGAAAATAATCGAATCATCAAGGAGAATCAAAAGCTTCAGGTGAATATTAACTTTTCAAATAATTTCAATTTTTTTGCAGTATTTAAAAATTCCTAGAGACTTGAAATTGTTTCTTTCAGAATACTTTAATAATTACTTGTATTTACCAGTGTTTACTTGTTTTTACTTGTATTTACTTGTTTTTACTTGTTTTTACAAGCATTATTTATACTAATTATACTTCTTGTAACTTATATCAAATTTCTCTTCTAATTCCTCGTCACTAACATTTTTTTAATTTCTTTTCCATTATTCATCACACAGGTTGAGATACAAAATAAAATGAAATCAATTAACAACGTAATCGACATGCTTAATGGCATAATTGGCGATAAAGTAACAATGGATGACCTGAAGAATAAATTCAAACCAGAAAACAGGAACAAGCGATCGAAAAGTCCTAAGGAAGAATTTTCATCGGAAAAAATTGAAACGCCTGAAAAAGTGGCTCCTTCAGAATTAGACAGAGAAAATAAATCTTCCAAGGATGACAAACCGATTTATAATTTTGTACATTACGATCCTGAAATGCATTGGTGTAAAGTCTGCGATATCTTTCCTAAAACAGCTAAGGAATATTTGAATCATCTACACAGCAATAATCACAAAGAAACTTGCTTGGTAAGTTGATAATTTAATTTTTTCAACAAACTGAACACAAAAAATCGATTTAATTTCCTTAAAAAATTAGTTTTTTCCCTAATTAGTTTTATTCCTAATTTATTTTTCTTTTACTAAATTAATTTTTTCGAACTTGGTATTTAGTGTCTTCGAAATTAGTAATTTTTAAAAAAAAAAAGTACATAGTTATTTAAAAAATAAGTTTATATTTTTTCAAAAAACAAACTGAAATTTTTACCTCATATTATTGTGGAAGACAGTAAATATAAAAAGATTTTATTTTTCTTTGCGTTATATAGGAACGCAAGATCGTAGATATGCCGTGGCACGAGCATGTTGGCGAGGGATCAGAGAAAGAAGTGCCCTATTATCCTGGCCTGCCAACGAAACGTACACCAATAAAAGGTAAATAAATTTTCAGTGGATCTCTACTAATATAGTACATTCCGTAGCTTGAATGCTGATTTGTGATATCATATTGCCCTCGGTATGTATTGAAGAGAAATTGAATTCAAAGAAATTTACTCTAATAATTGATGATAGAAAAGTGAGATTAATTTTTTTAGAGAGGAACTAAAAACAATTTTTAATTCTCAGTGCGAGCAGTTTTATTTTAATTATAAAATGAGCCATTAAATTGTAAATTTATTACATTTTCAAATTTTTTTTTAGTTAAATTATTTCAATTCTTTAGCAATAAACTATTTAATTTAAATTTAATTATATTTTTTAATTAAATTTAATTTAAATATTTTACTTATTGTGTTTAGAATTAATTATTATTACACAATTTTTTATTTTACTCAAGATAAATTTTATCTTGAGTAAAATAAAAAATTGAAAACTATTTTATAAAACCGATTATCTTTTTTAACGACACAAAAAATGATCAAATTTCTCTGCTCTTTTAATTGTTTCCTAAAAATAACAATTTTTTTAAATGAATTTTGTTTACTATTATTTAAAATATCGCGCTGTGTGAAATTTATTTAGTTCACAAAATTTTTTGAAAGATCTTATTTGAAACAGGTCACCGAATTAAAAATAATTGGTTTTTGCCAACATTTTTTTTCCTTGAAGAAACAGTGATGAGTTAAAAGCTTTAAAGTTTGTGAAAAATAGTGCAAAATTGCGGTGATTAGAAGAAACCGGAAAAATCCTACTTAGTGTTCTTTATGTGTAATTAAAATTAAGGTATTAATTCTTGGATGTTAAATTTATGAACGAAATGTTAATTGAAAAAGTTGAATATAAGTGTACCTTAAGTCTGCGATGTAAGAAAGAAAATGTAATTTATTTGATGTAAAATTAGAAAAGTTACATATGGATATTTTTTTTGTAAGACATCAAAATGTGAGATGTTAGTTCTTGATGTATTAAACAATTAATGTATTTTAAAAAAAAAATCATAAATAAATTTCTTTTTTTGTCCTGCCCTTTTCAGGTAACTGGGAATATATTCAAAAACTGAAAACGAATTTATTTTTACACTGTCAATTATTGTTTACCGTTTTCAGAAAATTCGGAAGCTGATAAAAAGGTCATTTTTATTGATCTTACAATATTTCTTAAATATTTCTTTACTTTCAAGTTGAATCTTGATTTTTAATTGTTATTTTTCTGATTTTAGGTTTGCAATTCTTCAGTCCAGCCACTGCGTGGTATTGTAAACTCTGCGATGCTTGGATCGGTGACCTTCACTGCGCTAGCTTGCACTTGAAATCTAAACGACATTCCGAAAACTTTTCTGTAAGTATCAAAAAACTTGATAAATTCAAAAATTAACAAAATAAGAAAAGAAAATGGAACAAAAAATGGAAGTAAAATAAAATAAGGAAAAATTTGAGCTAGTTTCTAGAAATAATTAGCCAAAAAGAAAACTCTTTTTAAAATTTTTAATTTTAATCAATAAAAGTAGTATTTTAAAATGTCGAATTAATTTTATTTTCTTCTATTTTTGTTTAATTTAATTCTAATTATTCTATTGGAATTATCAAATTTTTTATTTTTTTATTTATCTATCAAATTATTTATATTTTAATTATGTGTTGAACCATTCTAAATAATCTTTTTTTTCTAATAGCGATTCGTGGAGCAGAATCCACACTGGGAAACCGACTGGATGGCTGATCGTGAAAAGGCGTTCTCCGATGAAAAGCACAAACAGATTCAACTTGAAATACAAAAGCACAAAGAAGATGAGCAACAGCAGCCTGTGCCTGTTCAAAAACCCAAGAAGGCGAAGAAGAACAAGAAAAAGTCAAAGAAGAGTAAGAAACGTAAGCAGAAAAGTAGCAATAGCGATTCCTCCAGCGATTCTGAAAATACGGATTCAGATTCCGATCAAGACACCTCGAAAAGTATCAGAGTGGCCATGAGAAATAAAATGAAAGCATCAACGCAGGCAATTTTAAACGAGGAAATCGACTATCACGGTATTAAATTGAAAGGACCCTGGGCGCAAGTTGCTCAACAACAAATTCAAAACGTAGTGAATTCCGAACTTCATGCACCAGAGCCGGACGACAGACAACTATTAAATTCAATACGTGACAAACTCAAGGCAAAACAAGAGGAGGAAATAAAATCCATGAACAACAGAAAGCAAGTAATGGAAAAAACAATTCAAGAATCTGAACATGAGCCAAGCTTTCAGAAGAAGGAAGACGAAATGGCAGCCTGGGGACAGAAGGATCCATCGAAACCCTTTTGGTTAAAGAAGGAGGAAGAAAAAATTCAAGTTCCAAGCAAACCCGAAATTCCCGAACCTAAAGAAATACCGAAACCTCACATGGGTTTCTGGACCAAGCAACAAGTCAACATGCCTCCAAAGCCCATTGAAAATAAACCCATCGAAAAGGAGGATGATCGCGATCGTGACCGTGACAGAGACCGCGACCGTGATCGTGACCGTTACAAAGACGATCGTGATCGAAAGTACGATCGCCGGGACGATAAGTACGAGCGCTATGATAAATACGACAGAAGGCGGGGTCGAGATCGTGACAGAGATCGTGACCGTGACTATTACGACGATCGTCGGAAACGTGATCGCGACTCCGGCGATTCTCCCCGCAGAAATTGGCGAGGGGAATCCCCCAAGAGAGGCTACGACAAATACAAGGATCGCCGCGAAGACAGTGAGCCAAACGACGATTCAAAATTTGACAAAAAAATGATTGATCCCAAGCTAAAAAAAAACTCCGCTCCCCCCAAGAAACTCCCAACGCCAATCACAAAAGGGAAACTCCCTTTTATAGGGCGGCTCCCCCTTTTTAAAAAAAAGGTTGAGGAGCCGAAATTACCAGAAAAAGAACCACTTCCACTTCCCTACACTCAAAGTAAATTTGAAAACACACCGAAAGTCCCCTGCGAAATCATCAATCCACCAGGCATCGTTCACATCACGAAACTAGCGACTCCACTCAACCTCAACAACACCACCATGAAGCCACAAATGAAAATTCTAGTCGCTCCTCCACCCCCCGTTCTCAAGGAAAGCAAAACGACCCAACAAGTCGTCGACATGGAAATTGAGGATCAATCCGAGGAAGTCGTGATCGAACAACCAATAATCGATCATCAGAAGGAGACCGCAAAAATTCCCGTTCCAACCACTCTCCCACCGATGAATCAACCTCCACCGAATTTCGTCAGTCAACAACCACCACCCAATGACAAATTCATCAACAGACCACCGCCAATGTTCAACAATCCCCCACCTCCAGTCAATTTCACCCAAAATCCACCGCCTCGATTTCAAGTACCCCGACCAAACTTTGCCCAGAATCATCAAACTCAATTACCACCGCCCACTGTCGCCTATCCAAATCCCCCACCTTCAGTAGGCGAAGTCATGGTACCTGACGTCTCGGAAATACCCGAACCAACTGACAAACGTCCTGAAAATTCTCATCCACTTCCCGAAGATCTTCAGGAGGCGTTGAATATTATTTTCCCAAAAGATGAAATACCTGAATCGAAGGGAAATTCCCAGGATAATAGCATTATGTACGCATCCATGTACAGTATGCTCGGTTGTGTTGGCTATGGTCCTGAATTTATGGATCAACCCCCACCGGAAATCACTCAACCGGAACAGGAAAATGAGGCACAACCAGGACCCGATGATCTAAGAATGCTCGGTATCGATGAAGGTGACTGTGTTTTGTGAATGTTCTTTATCTATTTTTTCACAGTGAGAAATTTTGAAAGAAAATAATTGTAATTGTTATATATATAGGCTTTCGAATGTACAGTTATTCGAAGACAACTCTAAAAGAAAGCTTTTAAAGTACACACTCACAAAAAATGGTACCCGATTCTACGCAAATTGAAATCGAAAAAATTTACCCATTACAATTCTTGTCCAGTTTTTCGATTCTGTACAAATGGACTCTACGAATTGGAAATAGAATGAAGATTCAATAATTCACGCACGATTAAGGGGAGAGTACACGAAAATTTTTTTAACTTTATCAAGAGTTATAAATATTCTACAAAATTATTTTTAACGTAATTTTTTTAAGAAATTCGGTCGGAAAATATTTTGACCTTTTTCGGATTTTTATTTTTCATAGTCCTGAAGTTCTGAATGTTGAAATAAAAGAAAATTTTTTATTTCTTCTTCAGATTTCTAAATGTTAAATTTTGGTTTTTAATTTTTATTGCAATCTGTAATTTATGAAAATATTTCTAATGAAAAATATTTCGTTCATTTTCAACGTTCAACACTTGTAGATAATTATTTTTCGACAAGTTTAATAATTATCATTATTTTAGTAGATTTTGAAATCCAAGCATAATTTGGATAGAAAAAATATTTTTAATGTTCTGAATATTCGATTGAAGGAAATTTTTTTTATTTCTTCAAATTAAAATTTTATTATAAATAATAATTTCGTTACTAATGAAAAAAAAATTATGAAGAAATTTCTAAATGTGAAATTTAAGTTTTTTGTTCTCATTGCAGTCAATAATTGTTAAAAATATTTTTAATTATTAGTTTTGTTTATTTTCTTCATTTCAATATTCAAAACTGGATCGTTTTTGTAATGCCAAAAAAATTGCCGAATGAAAAAATTGATTTTTTATTTTTTGAAGCAATATTTATGTCTCTAAAGTTTAGAGAGTTAAAATAGAGGAAATTATTTGTTTCTTCTTCAAATTCAAATTTTATTGCAATATTGAGCCAAATAAAAAAAAAATTATAAAGATTCTAAATGTTTATTTTGTTTTTTTAGAAAAGTAAATAATGTTTGAAAATATTTGTAACGGGAAAAAATTTCGTTCATTTGAAAGTTCAGAACTTGTGGTTCATTTTTGTTTTCGAAAAAAAATTGTTTCTAGGTGTAAAATACTAAAAAATACTATTGTTATAAATTTATTTATTTGAAAACTTGTTTATTTTTCTAACTAGTTTCAAATCATATTCATTATATATACAAAAAAAGGTTAAAAAAATATCTGAAATTTTGCAGAAAAATAAAAAAATGAATTTTGAAGTAAATGGTTTTAAATTTTATATAAAAAAGTTTTAAAAAATTATGTTCTGAAATTAGTTAGAAAAATAAATAAATGAATTTTCAAGTACAAAAATTGAATAAAAATAGTATTTTTCAGTATTTTTGGCTCATAACCAATTTTTAAAAGGTGATTCAAAAATAGTAAAAATCAAATTTTCCATTCGGTAATTTGTTTGTGGATCATTTTCTACAAAATTACGCATAGATTTCAAAATCTATTTATTTTTAGCAGTTTTGAAAAAAGTTCAAACAGAGTCAAAAATATTTTATAATCAATGAATTTCTCACAAAAAATTGCCATTAAAATATTGTGGAATATTTAAAATATTTTCTTAATTTATATTTAAAAAATATCGACATATTCTCCTTTTAAATACACAATTGTAAATTTCTATACAATTTTATCACATGAAAATATACTAATTATTTTTTTAAATCAATTTTTGAATTTTTGAATAAAAAATAAATCAAATAAAAAAAAGTTCTCTATTAACAGAAAGCACACATTTTACACAATTAAATCATTTTGATTTAGAATTTATTTTTGCAGAATCGACAAAATCTAAACGTTCCTAATGGGTAAACTTTTCTCCTACAGATTTTTTTCTGTAAATTTTTTGTTTGCGTAAAATTACTACTAGAAAATAATTGTTTCATCCAATAATTTGAATAATTTTGTTTTCAATTTTTGTAGAAAAATTTGTGATTAAAATGAAAATTGTTCTATTAAACTTCATTGTATTGTACGCAAATTAAATAAGGTAATATTACCTTTTAATTGCAATTTTTTAATTATAATTTTGAATTTATAATCTACCATCAAAAAAAAAAAAAAAAAAATACTTGATGAAAAGATAAAGTTTCTCTATGGCGGCTTTGTTTATTATTTTATTATTACCTCGTAACATTTTATCGTTGTATTGTAATTTCTGTAGAGAGCGGAAAAATATAATTGAATAAATAAATATTGGACAACAATTAAAGATTTGTATTCTTTTTTTTTATTGTACAATAATAACTTTTATATATAAGTGTATAACCTGTGGTTGCAATAGACCATTCGCAAAAGTTTAAAATTGCATTTTTTCTTCAAAAAATTCAGTTAATCAGTTAATCGTAACGTTAAAAAATAAATTATCCTAACTATTCATTAATAGTAGGCAAATTGTTTATTCTATATCATTCAATCCTGATTGAATCATTCCAAGCAGTATCGTTTGCTCGATTATTTTAAAAAGCATATCTTTAAGTAATATATAAAACATTTCTCTATAAACTTTGATTACTATTTGTCTATTTGTCTATTTTTAAAGATTTTTTTGGTAAAGTATATTTATTTTTTTAGAAAATAGATTTTCGAAAAATCTAATAAAATGTAAAGATTTGGATAAAATGACAGAAAATTTTCGAAAATACAAAAAATATTTAAAATATAAATAAATATAATATAAATTAAATTATAAATTAAATTAAATTAAAAATCCAAAAATTCATTTAAAATTATCTTTTGGATCAATTTTAAGTTGTTTTTTTTTACTTTTACAGGACTTTAAGTACTTTCTTGAGATCACGTAAATTTAAAAAGTTAAATTAAATAAAATTAAGAATAAATAAATATAAAAAAAATTATGCTCCATAAATTCGGAACGTTGAACGTAATTACAAAAATTACTATTACTGCAATAAAAATTAAACAATTTCAAACTTCGTGAATTATTTTTTTAACATGTGACGCTATATTATTATTTCTTATACAATAAAATTTCAATTCGAATAAAAAATAAATAAATTTAGTTCTTAGAAAAAATAAGATACTTTACTAAAAAAAACTTTAAATTAAGGTCATGTTATTCAGTGGTCACGTGTTCCCATAGTAAAGTATATGGAGCACGTGACCACTGAATAACATGACCTTAATATAATATTCATAGATTTGAATAAATTTATTTCAATAACCGAGCAACCCAGTTTTCTGAAATTCCATATATTTTAACAATAAAAATGGAATATTTTTCCCAACAAAAATTAAAGTTCATGTGCACAAAAAAAAATTAAATGCAAAATCACACAAATTGACTTTTCTTTGCGTAAAGATTAAATCTTTCATATTGTGATTTAGTTTATGCATAAATCTAATATTTAACAATAATTTTTTTGATTTCACTGTTCTACGTCGTTTATCACGATGTATTTTCATTTTTCTTTCCTCTAGAAATATTTTTTCGTATTAAATAAATTCGTTGACTTAGACAATCACCAATCATTAGAAAGAAAATATCTTCTCTATTATGTTCAGTGAGATAATGGCACAATGATTATTTCAATAACTTAAATAGTTGCTGAAAAATTTGTTACTTTCGAATTATTTGCTCGTTGCATTTGATTAACAAAAAACAAGACTTTCTCATTTTTTTGATGAGAATGTAATAAATATAAGGAGGTTTCCAGTCGCTTTTTCTATAAGTTTTTAAATTTACCAGTTTTCTTTAAATTTACCAACTTAAAATTGAAAATTTATGGAAAAAACGACTGGGACTAATGTTCTTTTGATTATATTCACAATGAAAAAAATTGATTCAAAGTAAATTGGAAAATTGTGAAAAAAAAATGGTAGAGGTAAAAATATTTTAAAATATGTTAAAAAATCTTATCTCATTTCTAGTTTCATCTATTCTGTCTCACTTTTAGTTAACTCTTTTAGATAGTTAACGTTTCTTTAACGATTTTAATGAGATTTGAATATTTTAAAATACTTTTCAGTTTGTATCAAAGTCTTTAAACTACATTATACTCATCTGTTGAGTAACAGCCGATAATGGAATGAAATTATTTGCAATGTAAATGGGTTTTTAAAAAAACGGTCATTAGAACTTGACGAGGTAATTTTTAAGCCGTTTTTTTAAACGTTTTCGTTTGAAATTGACATTCTTTAGATTTGAAGTACGAGTCCTGCGCTTGAAATATTGTCTCCGCCGCCTGCGGTTTGACTAGCTTTCGTGCAAACTAAAACTGGTGCGATGCAAACTTCAACAACAATACGTTTATTTATATTGAAAGTCTCTTCCCAACATGAGACGGGCTTATTTTCATCGAGAAGAATTCTCGAACCTGATTTCGCAGACGTTGAGAAACTGTCGTCCATGATGAGCGTCGCTTTATCTAAATTCACCTTCGAACAGAAAATAGCAATTAATATTCAATTATTATCTAAAATTTTAACTGAAATTCATTTTTAAATCAATTTTTTATTAAAAAATTCTACTAGAATTCAATTATTTAAATAAAAAAAAACAATTTATTGAATAATTGCATGTTTCTTAAAATTAAATTCTTTTGACAAATTTGAATAAAATTTTTAAGAATAATTACATTTTTCAAGGAATTTGATGAAAATTGCATTAAAAATAATTGAACTTTTGCTATCAGTTTTATTATTCATGAAAATAATTGAATTCCTAAAAAGAATTTTATTATTTACGAAAATAATTTAAATCCTTGTAAAAATTTTATAATTTATGAAAATAATTGAATTCCTGTGAAATGTTTATTATTTTATGAAAATAATTAAATGATTGCATAGAATTTTATTAAAAATTTTCTAAATAATTGAATTCTTTTGGAAAATTTTATTAAAATTTTTAAGAATAATTTACATTTTTCAAGGAATTTGATTAAAATTGCATTGAAAATAATTGAACTTCTGCAAAGAATTTTAATATTTATGAAAATAATTGAATTCCTAAAAAGAATTTTATTATTTACGAAAATAATTTGAATCCTTGCAAAAATTTTATTATTTAAATGAAAATAATTGAATTATTTCGAAGAAATTTATTTAAAAAATTCGTAAATAATTGAATTCCTGTGAAATTTTTAATTATTTTATGAAAATAATTAAATGTTTGCTTAGAATTTTCTTAATTTTTTTTTTAAATAATTGAATTCTTTTGTAAAATTTTATTAAAATAGTAAGTAGATATTAAAAATCAATTACGGTTATTCGGAAATCCTTTAATTAAATATAATATATTTATTAGAAAATAAAAACTTCAAATAATTTCAACAAAAATTCAAATAAACTTTTCAAAAAAAACTAATTCTACAGAATTGTTAGTTAAAAGTATGAAAAATTCAAATAATATTCAATTATTATCTAAAATTTTAACTGAAATTCATTTTTAAATCAATTTTTTAAGAAAATTCTACGAGAATTCAATTATTTAAATTCAAAAATAAATAATTTATTGAATAATTGAATGTTTCTTAAAATTGAATTCTCATAAAGGATTTTATCAATAAATTTTTAAATAATTAAATTGAAATAATTTTGAATTTCAAAAATCCTTTGAAAAACATCCATTAATTTTAAAAATCCTTACAAAATTTTCCGTTAAAATTAAGTTATTGTGTTACATATTAAAGTTTTTAGAAAGAAATTAAATTATTTTCGAGAATTTAACGAAAAATTTTATTACAAAAGATTAATTAAGTTATTTTCAAAATTAATAAAATATTTACAAAGAATTAAATTATTTTCAAAAATTCAATTGGTTTCACAAATGATAAAAGTCTTCGTAAAAAATCAATTGTTTTTAAATATCTTAATAAAATTCTTCGCAAAAATTCAATTACTTTCAAATTATTTCAAAATTTGTAAAGATTCAAAATTATGAGTTACAAAAATTATAATATTTTTTAAACAAAGTTATTATATTTTTAAATTAAAAAAAAAATTTTGAATAAAAGTGATATGAAATTTCAAAAAATTAATTTTTCAAATTTAATTAAAAATTTTATTAAAAATAACTAAATCCCTAAAAAAAATTTTATTATTTGTGAAAATTGAATTATTGCGAAGAAATTTATTAAAATTTTTTAAATAATTGAATTCCTGTGAAATATTTATTATTTATGAAAATAAATATTTGCGTACAATTTTATTCAGAATTTTTTCATTGAATTGAGGAAAATTTTTGAAAATATTTCAATTTCGGAGAAGAATTTAATTATTTTTAAAAATAATTGACATTTTTACTAAAATTTAAAAAAAATTTTTGAATATAATCGATTTTCTGCGAAGAATTTTATTACTTTTGAAAATAATTGAATTTTTGGAATCATTTGTAATTTCTCTAAAATTCTCCAAATTATATCGACCTTTTTTCAAAAAAACTGACTTGAAGCAAATTTACGGACCTATTTCGAGCCCTAAAATTTACAATTAAATTACGGATTAGGAAAAATTCTTACATCTTGTGATCCACAAACGTGTCGATGGGCAGTGAGAGAGGCTTTTGCGGCCGCAGCCACTGTATTTTTCCAAGAGGAATTTTTCACCGTGAAAATAGCTTGATAAGCTAGTGTATGAACATGAATTCTCGTTAGTTCTCTCGAATTTTCAATTTTATTCCCCTTGACTCGAATCAGCCTGAAGAGCATTCTCATTTGATCCAAAATTGTTGCCACCCTAGGCGTGGAGTCCGTGACTAGTGAAATATTTCCGTACTGGAGGGAATTGTACAGATTTCCAATTTCTTGTTCATTCATACCCAGACTGTCAGCGAATGGAATGACCTTATTGCAAAGTTCATTGAGTAAACTCTGCTCGACAAACGAGGCCATTTCGAAATGGATTTTCGTCGATTTTGGCTGACTGATCATTTGCTTGTGAACTTTGTTCAATCGACTAGAACGGACACCTGTGTAAAATTACTTAATTAGACTTTGTCAAAATTTTTTCGTTTTCGATTGAAAAAAAGCTTTTTTTCTGCATAATTCATTTAATGCATTTGGATATTTTTTACCATCTTCGAAAGGAAAATTGTCCATCATCTGAAGACCGCCAATGACTAGTAAATCGGGTTTAAATTCTGGCAGTACTTTATCAAGTTCTTCGAGAGCGCTTATCATTGGATTGTTGTGATCGTTGTGAAGAATGTATCTGAAAAAATTGCGAATCAATTTAGATCAAAATTGTTATAACTAAAATTTTACAAGATACAAATTTACAAGATTATTAGAAATTCTACATCAGAAGAAAATGAATTTAATAATGTTCATTTTATTTTTTACCTATTAGCTCGCGCACTTTTATAAGGCCCCCAAGTTTCTCCACTTTTGTACTCAAGAATTAAATGTATATCATCTCGTTCTACTTCTCCGCCTACGATTTTAATCGACTGCGGCATCATTTGTTGGAGAGATTTAGTCATTTTCGCAGCCAAAATAACATCACATCCTTCCTTCAAAAATCGAAGTGCCATTACTGCCGCATTTCCTCCAATCGTCGAGTAAGACGTGGAAATTTTTCGTACTTTCGCCACCAATTCGTCGAAAAGAATCCTATTTCCCATATAGCGTCTGCAAAAAAAATTTCCCTCCAATTTTCAACGTTCAAACGAACAAAATTTATTTTCTATTCAAATATTTTTAAAAATTAATTACAAAAATGATGAAAGTAATTAAAACTGAATATTTATTTAGTTATAACAATTTTTTCTATATGAAAAAAAAGATTTTTTTATTACTAACAGGGTGATCACAAGTTCTAGTTAATCAATTTCCCTGACAATATACTGACATTAAAATTATTTTAACTGATTGCTCCGAAATTTTAATAAGTCCAAAAAAGTAAATTTTTATTCGAAGACAATAAAATCTTAAAAAATTATGATATAAAAATTCTAAGAATTAAGTATAGTTTTTAAAAATATTTTAATGTAATTTTTCCAAAACAATTGAATTTCTAAAACAGAGTTTTTGTATTATTTAAAAAAAACTAATTCATTTTTTGATGAATTTTAATGAAATATTTTGAATGATTTTTTTCCCCAAAATGTTAAAAATAATTCTACAATGTTATTATTTTTTGTATTTATTTGAACTTTTGAAAATATGTAATTAAAAAAACTGAAAATATTAAATTTTAAAAAATTAGAAGCTAATTTTCATTAATATTCATTTTTAAATTTACGTTTAAAGGGTTTAAAGATTTTTCATTAAAATTTTTGATAATGCAATTATTATCAATTAAAATTTAACAAAATTTCAATTATTAAAAATCTTTTTAATTGTATATTTCGAAAATTTAAATAGAAAAATGATTCAAAAATAAATTTTGAAAGATTTGTTTATAGTTATTTTTCGCACTATAAAAATTGAAATGAATTACATTTAATACTAAAAAATATGATATTTAGTTGCAATATTTGGAAAAAAAGTCGAGAAATGTCGCAATTTCTGAAAATTGTAAGTCGAAAAAAATCTCAATTTTATAAATTTCCTTGGCAAAAAATTTTTTACCTCACATTTTCCTGACTTCACTGACATGTGGCCACTCTGATTAATTATTAATAATTAACAAAGTACGAATTGAAAGAGGTAAAAAAATATGTCGTCGTACATTTGAACGTTCGCAACTTTAGAAACAGAAAAAAATCAAACTTATTCTTTTAATATTTAAAACTTTGTAGAAAAATTGTCAAAATTTATTTTAAAAAATGACCCTCAAGTTTTGAACGTTTAAATGAACGAAATGTCTTTCATTACAAATATTTTCAGTAATTGCCGTTTGTAATAAAAATTAAATACCAAAATTAGAAAAAAAAATTAAAATTAGAAATTTCTACCTAATTAACTTTTTTTTATACCTGACGAAAAATTATTGCAATAAAAGTTTACTCTAAAGAAGAAATAAATAAATTTCGTTTAAAAAAAAAGTTGACTGATAAAAAATTATACAAATATTTGTTAAAATCGTTAAAATCAATAAAAAAAACCGAAATACATATTTACCGCTTGTAAAAAATACCCTTTTCCGAATAAATATTTATTTTAAAATATTCTTGATATAAATTAAAAATCATTGATAATAAAAACGATTTCGTAATAATAGAATTTTATAAAATTCTAATGAAGGAAATGAATGAAATATGAATTATATGTGAAATTGTGCGGGAAGAAAAAAAATGAGGTTAACTCACTCGGCAGCAGCTCCATGACGAAAATAGTAAGCATAACTCTTGTATAATTCAATATCGGTGTTAATTTCATCAAAATGCATAGGATTTCCAACATTATCATTATATTTTAGTAATTTTTTTGCTCGAACCGACACATCTGTGCAAATTCCATAACCTATCGCCACTTTTGGTCTGTCAGTAATTTCATAGCGGTTTTCTAATTTTTCTAGTCCGTGTAAAACAGCCACTAATCTTTTTTGTAGAACATCGTCAAAATTTCTATAATAAATCGCTATTAACACAATTATTATCGTTAATAAAGTACCAAATTTCAGTCCTATTAATCCCATTTTCAGTCGTTCGTGTGCCGCGGTAGCAGATGCACTAATTGCACATAACCTGTTTTGCTGTCAAATTGACAGATGGTGGCGAATGTCAACAAAAATAAGTTTTTTTCGTTTTTTTTTACTTCAGAGAAAAGCGCTAAAATTCAAAACGAAATTTTATATTTTACATATTATATTATATGTACATATTACATATTATACATATTATATGTACATATTACATATTACATATTATATTTTATTAATTATTATTATTTATTAATACGAAATATTAAGATAAAATAAAATGTTCAGAATTTAAGAAAAAAAACTAAATTCGAATGATGAAACACTCATTTTTATTAGTATTTGAAAAAATTAAAAATTTATTCAACAAATTATGACATTATATTTATATTGAAACACACACGCAGTATCGATCGAATATCAGAAAAGTTTCTCCAAATTTTTTGTATATTTTTTTGTCGATTTACACTTTATGGATATTTAATTATTCAGGAAGACCTGCTTCGTGTGGAGAACACAATTCATCGTAAATCTAATTTAAAAGATTAAACCTATTATTACATTAGTACAAAATAGGATTAAATATCGTCTCACAATGATAAAGAATATACAATTCGGTGTTTATAAAGATTATTGATTTTCACAAATATAAATAGTTTACACGACCTATTATTCTTAACTGTCAATAAAAAAATTTACAAATTATCAAAAATATAATTATTTTGTAGGATTTCCTATAAAATAATTTCTTACTTCTAAATAGTGTTTGCTATGGAAGCATTATTTAATAAATAAATTTTTCAGATCTTGAAATGTAAATACAATTATTAATTTCCATAAAAGTAGAATTTTTTTACAACTCGCATTTTTTTTATTCTAAAAATACTGAAAATATACTTTTTAATACTTAAATATCAAGGAAAATACTTTTGGAAATTATTCTCACTAGTGAAGCACAAAAACTATAAATATTGAATCTATACGTAACTTACTTTTGATAAATAATCTTAGAGTGATGAAACATGTCCCGAAAGTTCTGAAACTTCTGAACGTTCAAATAGACAAAATTTATTTATTTATATTTTTAAAAAAATTTTAATCTTATAAATTTTTTAAATTAAGATTTCACACAATAAAACCTTTTTGAAATTCAACTTGTAGGAATATTTTAATTTATTATAAAAACAAGAAGAAATCGATCAATCCGAGACTTCGACTCGGAGTGATCGATTTTTTATGTTTCATATAATAATTAACGAAGACCAAGTCATAAAATCATTATTTTACATTATAACAATATTGTTAATGAAAATTCTTCAAAATTATTTTCATCATTTCAATTCAATTATTATTTTCTCGATTTTTTAACTAAAATTCTTCTTCACATCAATTATTTTTAATAACTTTCGAAAAAATTCTTTGAAAATTTTTCAAATCCATTTGCTTACAATTCAATTTCTATTATTAAGGAATTTAAAAAAAATTCAATTAAACATATTCAAAAATAATTAAATTGAATTCTTTTGACGAAATAATAACATCTTTTGATAAATTCATTAACTTAATTATTTCCATAAAAAAAACCAAATTTTTCGAAAATTATTAAAATCCTTTGAAAAAATTGAATTTTAAAAATTCTTACAACATTTTTCGTTAAAATCAAGTTATTTTCGAAATTAATAAAATCTTTACAAAGAATTAAATTATTTTCTAAAATTCTTTAAAGAAATTCAATTGCTTTCACAAATGATCAAATTTTTCGTAAAAATTTAATTGTTTTTAAATCTTTTTTATAAAATTCTTCGAAAAAATTAAATTACTTTCAAATTATTTCAAAATTTATCAAGATTAAAAATTATGATTTACAAAAATTATAATATGTACTTTTTAAACAAAGTTACTATATTTTTAAATTAAAAAAGAATTTCAATAAAACTGATATGAAATTTTTTAAAATTATTTTTTCAAATTCAATTTAAAATTGCACCTATTAAAAATAATTGAATCCCTGCAAAAAAATGTTATTATTTATAAAAATAATGAAATGTTTACGTAGAATTTTATTCAAAATTTGTTTAAATAATTGAATTTTTTTTTGAAATAATAAAATTTTTTTTATAAATAATAAAATTAAAATTTTGACGAGAATTTAAAAAAATTTTTGAAAATAATTGAATTTCTGCGAAAAAATTTATTACTTTTTAAAATAATATAATAATATATATATATATATATATATAATATAATAATATAATAATTTCCAAGTAGAGTTTTATTATTCATAATTAAATTTCTGCGAAAAATTGTATTTTTTATGGAAATAATTGAATTACTGCAAAGAAATTTATAAAAATTTTGTAAATAATTAAATCCTGTAAAATTTTTATTACTTATGAAAATAATTAAATATTTGCATAGAATTTTATTAAAATTTTTTCATTGAATTCAGGAAAATTTTTGAAAAAATTAAAATTTTGCGAAGAATTTTATTAAAATTTTTGAAAATACCTAATTGATTTTTAGAGAAAAATTTTATTATTTATAAAAAGAATTAAAATTTTGACTAGAATTTTATTATTTATAAAAGTAATTGAAATTTTGACTATAATTTTATTATTTATAAAAATAATTGAAATTTTAACTAGAATTTTTTTTAATTCTTGAACATATAATTGAATTTTCGAGAATTTTATTATTTATAAAAATAATTGCAATTTTTACTAGATTTTTTTTTAATTTTTCAACATAATTGAATTTCTGCGAAGAATTTTATTACTTTTGAAAATAATTAAATTTCTACAATTGTTTGTAACTACTCCAAAATTCAATTTTTTTTAGTGTTTTTAACTGAAATTCTGCTAAAAATCCCTTATTTTTAATAATTAATTAATTATATATTAAAAAAATTAACTAATTTCAGAAGAATTTGAATTATTAAAATTCTTCTAAATTCATTTAAAATTGAAATTTTCTAAAATTTCAAATTAAAACCTTTTGAATTCACCTTTTCACTTATGAAAATTTACAAAAGTTTCAAATTTTTGTAATTATGGTTTTTTTTGTATCCAATCGATACTTTTTTGGAAAATATTTATACCTAGCAAAAAAATGGTTCATTTGAACATTCAGAAATTTTTTCAACATGATGAAACATATTCTGTAAGTACGTAATACAAAGACATCAATTTTTACCGTTGAGGTAAAAATAATTCTCCCAAATCCTATTATATACTTCTTTCATAAGTATACATTTACCTAATTATTCTGAAAATACTGATGCAATATTTCAATCTTAAACATTAATTTGAGTATTGAAATTTGTCATTCTCCCAGCAACAATTACACTATTATTAAGCTCTTTCGAAGTTTTCGTATGGATTCTCATGTGTTTCTTGAGATTATCCAATCGATTACATCTTCGATCACAAAAATCACACTGATATGGCATTGAATTACTGTGCACAATAATATGCCCATTTAAATGACTAACCTGTTTGAATTTTTTCCCACAAATATTACAAGTGTACGGCCTCTCATTCATGTGTGCCGATGCGATATGCGTTTGGAGGTTTGTTTTACGAACAAAAGTCGCTTTACATTCATCACACTCAAAAGGACGAACATTCGCGTGAATGGCCAAATGAGATTTCAAAACATTCTTGTGTTTAAAATTCTTTTCACAAAGATGACATTGAAATGGTCTCTCGTCAGTGTGCACTTTTTTATGCACCGACAAATGTGCCAATTGTTTAAACATTTTTGCACAAATTTCACATTGATAAGTTCGTCCATCCTCGTGGGCGGCACTCACGTGTCTTCGTAAAGTATCGGCGAGGGTGTATTTTTTGCCACAAATTTTACAGACAAAGGGTTTTTCATTCGTGTGTGTCAGGAGGTGACCGTTGAGATTTCTTTTCTCGAGAAATCTTGCACCGCAAACGTCGCATTGATAGGGTTTATCGCCATTGTGAATGTACATGTGTTTTTTTAACGAATTTGCCAAACTGAAGCGTTTCGAGCAAATTGCACATTGGAAGCGACGTTCGCCGGTGTGAACCAACATGTGAGACTTGACGTGTCCTGATTGTTTGAATCGTTTACCACAAACGTCGCATTCGAATTGTCGTTCTTGCGTGTGGGTTAATATGTGCCTTTCCAAAACGCTTTTGGTGGAAAAGACTTTTTTGCAAATATCACAATCGAAGAGACGATTTTTTGGGATATTTGTACTTTTTTTGAGAAACGAATCTTGGGGATGAATTTCCGAGTGGATTTTTAAAGCGTCTAGAGATTCGAATTTAACGCCGCATTGATTGCATTGCAGTGATTTGTAATCGGTGTGAGTTATCGAATGTTGACTGAGATGACCGAGTTGTTTAAAACTTTTATTGCAAATTTCACAAACGTAAGGTCGTTCATTTGTATGCGAACGAATGTGTCTTTTTAATACACTCGGAAATTCGAATTTTTGCTCACAATAACTGCATTCTAATGTTTCGTTTAATTTCCCTCGTTTATCACGTTGTTTGGTTTTTTTTCGATTGACTGACACACTTTTCATTTTCATTTTATCTGAATTTATTTCTTTAGAAACAAATTCCTCTTTAAGTTCTTCTAGCTCTTCAAAATCAGTAGAAATTTTCGAAATTTCTCCATGAAATTCTTGTAGATGATTTTTATAAACAACTTGACTTCGAAATTTTTTTGAACACTTCGAACAATCAATGGACTTTTTGTGCGATTTTAAATGATTTGCTAAATGTCCAGCCATTGAAAATTGTTTTGGACAAAATTTACAACTGAACGTATGGTTTTTTCCTTTTTTTAAAGAAGTCGATTCTTCTTCGGAACAAGAATTCTCTGATTCAGTTTTCACTCCTGGCAAATTCGGTCTGAGATTTCTATTCGAAACTTTTATTTCTTCGGTGTACTAAAATAAAAATTAACTATATTAATCTTCGTATTCTTTCATTCATTCTGTCCGCAGTTTAAAGTTAGTTTTTATGAATGCTTTTGTTTTTTTTTCTTTAAAAAAAATTATGATTAACAAATGGAAAATATACCCATTTTGTTTATTATTTGCTTTTTTCTTTAACAAATTTCATTTGACTGATCTAAATTATGCAAATTTTTCTCCTTTTTATTTATTCACTAATACATTATAATAATCGTAAGTTTCCTTTCCGTTAGCAAATTATCTGCATTCATTTGTTTGTTTTGAAAGTTTAATTTTGTGGGTTAAGTATTGGCATTTTTTATATATTTTTTAATGTCAAACTTTTTAATGTGGAAAATACTTTACTTATTAAATTGTCTCGAATCTTTGGTAAAAAATCTAAAATTATCAAAAATTCGAAAAATTTCAAAAATCCGTTTTTCTTAAAATTCAACATTTTTTTCTCTCTTTTATGGGATTTAGCTTCATTATTTTTGTGCTTTTGGAAAATACTTTACTTATTTAATAGTCTCGACTCTTTGGTAAAAAATCTAAAATTATCGAAAATTATCAAAAATTCAAAAATCCGAATTTCTTAAAATTCAACATTTTTTCCTCTCTTTTATAGGATTCAGCTTCATTATTTTTGTGCTTTTGGAAAATACTTTACTTATTAAATTGTCTTGACTCTTTGGTAAAAAATGTGAAATTATCGAAAATTATCAAAAATTCAAAAATCCGAATTTCTTAAAATTCAACATTTTTTCCTCTCTTTTTTGGGATTTAGCTTCATTATTTTTGTGCTTTTGGAAAATACTTTACTTATTAAATTGTCTCGACTCTTTAGTAAAAAATCTAAAATTATCAAAAATTCGAAAAATTTCAAAAATCCGTTTTTCTTAAAATTCAACATTTTTTCCTCTCTTTTGTGGGATTTAGCTTTATTATTTTTGTGCTTTTGGAAAATACTTTACTTATTTAATAGTCTCGACTCTTTGGTAAAAAAACTAAAATTATCGAAAATTATCAAAAATTCAAAAATCCGAATTTCTTAAAATTCAACAATTTTTCCTCTCTTTTATAGGAATTAGCTTCATTATTTTTGTGCTTTTGGAAAATACTTTACCTATTAAATTGTCTCGACTCTTTGGTAAAAAATGTGAAATTATCGAAAATTATCAAAAATTCAAAAATCCGAATTTCTTAAAATTCAACATTTTTTCCTCTCTTTTTTGGGATTTAGCTTCATTATTTTTGTGCTTTTGGAAAATACTTTACTTATTAAATTGTCTCGACTCTTTAGTAAAAAATCTAAAATTATCAAAAATTCGAAAAATTTCAAAAATCCGTTTTTCTTAAAATTCAACATTTTTTCCTCTCTTTTGTGGGATTTAGCTTTATTATTTTTGTGCTTTTGGAAAATACTTTACTTATTTAATAGTCTCGACTCTTTGGTAAAAAAACTAAAATTATCGAAAATTATCAAAAATTCAAAAATCCGAATTTCTTAAAATTCAACATTCTTTCCTCTCTTTTATAGGAATTAGCTTCATTATTTTTGTGCTTTTGGAAAATACTTTACCTATTAAATTGTCTCGACTCTTTGGTAAAAAATGTGAAATTATCGAAAATTATCAAAAATTCAAAAATCCGAATTTCTTAAAATTCAACATTTTTTCCTCTCTTTTATGGGATTTAGCTTCATTATTTTTGTGCTTTTGGAAAATACTTTACTTATTAAAATCTCTCGACTCTTTGGTAAAAAATCTAAAATTAATGAAAATTATCAAAAATTCAAAAATCCGTTTTTCTTAAAATTCAACATTTTTTTCTCTCTTTTATGGGATTTAGCTTCATTTTTTTTGTGCTTTTGGAAAATACTTTACTTATTTAATAGTCTCGACTCTTTTGTAAAAAATCTAAAATTATCGAAAATTATCAAAAATTCAAAAATCCGAATTTCTTAAAATTCAACATTTTTTCCTCTCTTTTATGGGATTTAGCTTCATTATTTTTGTGCTTTTGGAAAATACTTTACTTATTTAATAGTCTCGAATCTTTGGTAAAAAATCTAAAATTATCGAAAATTATCAAAAATTCAAAAATCCGAATTTCTTAAAATTCAACATTTTTTCCTCTCTTTTATAGGATTTAGCTTCATTATTTTTGTGCTTTTGGAAAATACTTTACTTATTAAATTGTCTCGACTCTTTGGTAAAAAATCTAAAATTAATGAAAATTCGAAAAAATTCAAAAATTCGATTTTCTTAAAATTCAACATTTTTTTTCTCTTTTATACCATTTAGCTTAATTATTATTTGAATTTTTATTCTAGAGAAAAAATGGAAAACTGAAAAAATTTAGAATTTTTTAAAAATTACAGGCCTTTTCCATGATTTCCCTGATTTCCAGAAGCCTTTTAAAAATTCCATACCATTTCCATGATTTCCATGATTTCCAGATTCTGTAGGAACCCTGCTTTTGTCTGACTTTCTTCTAAATTATCGAATTCAGTGATTTCTGGGGTGAATTTGGTTAAGTTGTAAAATGATTAATTTCTATTTGAATTCGTTTTTTTTTAATGTAGAAAATCTGATGTTAATTTAATTCTTTTTTCGTTATGCACGGCAAAAAATATTTAGCTGGATGAACTACAGATTTCACTTTAGTAGCGAAATTATTCAGTGCTTCAATTAATACTTCCGTTATTCTAGAGATACTTATCGCTATTTCAAGTAAAACTTTTTTCAGTGTGTAATAATTATTATTTCTTTAAAAAGTATTTAATTTAAAATGGCTTTATAAAATAAGCAATGCAAAAGATGACCCAGATACTAATTGTAATTGTTCTAGCCATAGTTTAAGTCTAGTAATGTAAATTCTATTTAAATTGAGACCATTGAGTGAAATTATTTGAATTTTAGTTAGTTAAATCTCTTTGTTAGGTTATAATAATTATTTCTTTAAAATTTTTTAAATTGTTTAAAATAAGCAGCCCCATACAACATTCCCGCGCGCTTGCGCGCGGATAGTTTGGCTAGTTTATTCACTAATTGAATGTTTTTTAAAATTTAATTCTTATAAATATTTTTATTATTAAATTTTTAAATAAATGAATTCTTTTGACGAATTTTAATCAAATTTTTAAGAATAATTACAATTTTCAGGAAATTCGATAAAAATTTTAATAATTGAAATTCTGCTATGAGTTTTTTATTATTCATGAAAATAATTTAATTATTGAAAAGAAACTTATAAAAAGTTTGTAAATAATTGAATTCCTGCGAAATTTTTACTTTATTATTTATGAAAATAATTAAATGTTTGCGTACAATTAATAATATAAATATAGAGATAGTAGAGAATATTGAATAAGATATAAGAATCTTAAATAAATATTGAAAATTATTAAAATGAAGAAAGTTTTTGAAAATAATTGAATTTGGAAGAATTTTTTTTATTTATAAAGATAATAGGAATTTTGATATTAATAAATATTTGCGTAGAATTTTATTAAAATTGTTCTTAAATAATGAAATTCTTTTGGAAATTTTTGTTAAAATAGTAGAAATTGAAAATCATTAAATTAAGGAAAATTTTTTGCAAAAAATTTTATTAAAATTTTTAAAAATATTTGAATTTTGTAGAATAATTTTATTATTTTTAAAGATAATTGAAATTTTGATGAGATTATTTTTTAATTTTTGGGAAAATTTTTATTATTTTTGAAAATAATTGAATTCCAATTCATATTTTATTTTTATGAAAATAAATTGGAATTACAAATTTTTACGTTGTATTATTTTTCAAAATTGCTAATTTTATTAAAAATTTTATTCAAAAAAGTGAGTAAGAAGTTAGCCGCGCGCGTAAGTGTGCAAATTGTTGCTGGTAAAATTTTTAATGATAAATTAACAAATGAAAATTACAGATAAAAGAAATTAAAAGAGTAAGAGAATTACAAAATTACCTCAGTGTTAATTTCTTTGTCGAAATCATTATCGTCTGAAATAGATAAACTATCGCCTTGAACATCCAACTCTGATTTCAACTTTCCGGGTTCGATTTCATTGTTCTTATCATTGTAATAAAAATCCTCGTAAACATTTCGTTTGAAATGTGATTCATAGGGAAATTTGTTGTTCTCGATGGAAAATGTTGCATTTTCCAACACTTGAATGATTTTTATACTTTCCAACCATGATTTTTTTGGATTTTTCGTCAACCAAGACTTGATAATCATTGGAAAATTCCTCTCATTCTTAAATCTGACAATATCATCGGGAATTATTCGGAAACTATTCCATAAATTCAGTAATTCGGTTACAATTTCTTTTACATAATTTTGACCATTTTCCGACTGTAAAATATCTGGTACACCAATAATTGTCATCACATCCAAAAGCTTCATTGCCACCTCCTTTGGATTGTTACTTCGTAAAGCTTTCAAAACAATATATCTTGATATTCTATCCTCATAAACAAATAAATATTTATAGTGCGAAATATCCTCGGACATTTTGATAACGTCAATCTGTCCTCTCCTGGCATTTTTACATTTATTCACTATTTTAATTTGTTCGCCCGACTGTGAACGTGTCTGAAAAAATACATTATTTTAGTTTTCAAAATTTGTTAATTGAATGAAGTTTACTAAAAGTTTACAAATTATTTTTCTCTATAAATACCTTTTTTATTAAATTTACAGAAGTCTTGTGATTTTCCTCGGGGAGCGAAACGAACTGACGATGCTTTTCAACCTTTTCATTGTTTTCAACTCGTGACAATTCATCGAGTGCAGAGGAAAATGACATTTTCGTAATCAGAAACTCCACATTCTTTACTGCAGGTTAGTCTAACTAAAATTTGTATTTTTGCATTAAGTTTTAATTAATAATCGAATATCTACACAAATTTAAACCGGCATTCAGAGAAATAAACAATATTTGTATACACAAGAAACTAACCTCAAAATACAGAATGAAAATGGTATGCGAATAAAATGATTAAAATTCAGGACATTTTTAAACATTCGTAAACTGAAGTATATTATTTTTATACTATTACACTAAACAAGTGTAAATTAATTTCCTTCTTCAACAAAAAACATTGATATTTTTAAAAAACACCACGAATACAATTGAAAAACAAAATCATGTAACATCACACACTGACAGACGTACACACAAGTACCACACTAATCACTAAATAATACAATTCATTTATTGTAAATTTTTTCTAAGTTTAATAATTATTTTATTGATACTATTAAATATTTTATCTCAATTTTTACCGATGGAAAGTATAAATTTATTTTAATTCAAAATTATTAATTTCGAATAATTTTGAATGTAATGTATTTTTAATTTCTCAGTTGACTTCAGTTGGTAGAAATGACAACAAAAGTGACAAACTTCAAGCAATGACAAGTTCACTGTTTTGAAGTGCTATTGAATATACTATTTAATTTAACCGTTTATATTTAAATGGCTATAGTTAGTATTTATAAATAGTAAAAATGTCCGAGTTTCATAATCTTTTATATGGCACTACACGTATTCGGAAAACAATTCCAGTTCCAGAATTGTCAATTAGTGAAAATGTGGAAAACAATTTTTTACGTGATTTTAAAATTGACAAGGTATTTAAATTTTATTTACAAGGTTTACATTTTGTGTTGTTTGTTATACAGGTTATAATTTATCAATTATTAATTATTACTTTGTTACTTTAGTTCTTTAAATATTTTGAACTATGATTTAACTTTTAAATTAAAAATAGAATTTTGTTCAGCAAAATAATTTAAAATTTATTTTGAAAATAATAAAATTATTGTGAATGCAGATGCGAAGGAGAAAACTTAAAAAACTGAAGCAAGAGGAAGCTGATTTAAAATTGAGAGCTCTAAGAGAAGAACTTTTGCAAAATGAACAAATTAAAGCACTAGATTATAAATATTATATTCCACGATCTCAGGAATATTATATTTTAAAAATGAAGGAATTAGCGAACGATACAAGTGGACTCCTACCGGTAAGAAATTGTTTCCCTAATATTTGTTATTTACGTCTTCCAATAATTGACAAGGAAGTAAGAAGTAGAATATTAAGTAAAAATTTTATTATTAATTAACTAAGTATTTTTTTCTTTATTTGTACACAAAATTAGGATATTTAAAATATAACGATTAAGTAATAGAAAATATACCCATTTTGCATATTTTCTGTTTATCAATTACAATTTTGTTCATAAAATTAAATGTTTATTTTAGAAAATGAAAAATATTTGCATAATTCCAATTTTTTAATCACAATTTTTGTATAAAATTCTTTAATTTTTTTTTAAACAAGAAAAAAAAATTATTATTAAACCTTTCTTTGTAAACAATTTTATTATTTTTTCTTGCTTACTGTACTAAGCCCAACTTTATGAAAAATAATATTCAAGAATTAATTTATTGACAACTTTGAAAATAATTAGTTGGTTAGAAATTTTAATTGTAAAGCTTCGACTGTAAAAGAAAAATTATTTTTAACTTTTGCTGTATTTATAAGTGTTAAAATTGTTTATTCAAACTAATAAAATTTAATCATTTTAATTAATTAAATTATCTAAAATTATTTTTTAATAAATAAGGACCTGAAGAAAGACTTTAGTCTATAAAAACTAAAATTTCTTAATAATACAATTGATTATAGTTATTAATTGTAGTAATAAAATTAACTAGCAATCCATATTTTGGTTTTATAAAAAAATTTTGTTTCTATGATTTTCAATTAATTTGCAATTTTTGATTCTATACAAATTTTAATTAGAAATTCTAATTTTCTTACACCTTTTTCAGGAATGGGAGGAAAATATCAAGAGACAACTACCAAAGGACTTGAAAATAAAATTTAAAAAAGTTTTCGATAATGTGATGAATGAAACACGAGAGCACTATGTTGAAATATTGCATGAATTTGGAATACGACAAGTTACAGCAGAAGAGGATGAAGACAGAGGATTTGATGTACCAGTAGATTTACCATACAAATTCCCTGGACATACTGAATATCGAATTGAATTCTTGAGAAACCGAAGCATAATAGAGAAGAAGTATTTTCTCTCTCATAAATTAATCAGAAATATTGTGTTCAAAACGAAAATTTTACAAAACTGGATGTTGGATTTTCGTAAATATCGAACTAAAGGTTTTATGGAATTGACACGGTAAATATTGAATACTTATTTTTATATACTACTTTTATTTTATTGATACTTCTTTGTCAATTTATAAATTAAAATTAATTACATTTATAAAAAAAAATTAATTACATTTATGAAATAAAATTAATTACATTTATAAATTAAAATTAATTACAATTATAAATTGAATTTGAATTTAATTAATTTTGAATTTAAATTTGAATTTAATTAAAAATTGGAAATATATTAATTAAAACTGTCAGATTGCAGGATTTAGTTGAGGAAGATTTAAGAAAAGGTGATTTAATTGTAGCGAATTCCTACTATAATAGTATTGTTACACTAATTTCACAACCAAGGTATTTACACGAAATTTCCTCGAATTTATTACCGTCATTTTTGAAGTGTGCTTCCAGACTCCTGGCACTTCAAATTAATCGGCAAATGATGAATACCATTGAACATTTACTCGAAGTAGTCAACGATGCACTAACCATTCCAGTGTTAAACGTAAGTTCCAATTCTATTCAAATTACCAAAAAATAAATTTATAAATAGAATTTGCGTCACTTTATTTTATTTCATTAGACAAATTATCAAACTAATTAATTTATACATATTAAAATTAATTTTTCTTTCCAGGTAAAACTAAAGTGCGAAAATAATCAACTATTCACTTCGCCGTCAATAACCGAAATTTATTCGGCATTTCATTCTTTTATTGACAACATTGCAAAAACGGCTCGATATTTGCCATCATTGGAGACGTGGGTGAATGAAAGAACTTCGAATAATTTCATTCCAGTCACATTGCCCGAATGGTATTTGCAACAAGTGCATCAACTTCTCGAAGAGAATTTGAAAACTGCCTATCGTTCTTTAAATGATTACATTGAGGATCTTCGACATCAGTTTAGTTTCATTTGCAGTTCGGAAACTCATCAAGAGATTATAAATTACGTCGCAGATGGTCATGATTTTATCACCTACGTGGATAAAGTGGAAGAGTTTAAGAGCTTCTTTATGGAAATTAATAAAATTGTAATTCAATTGCATTACATAAATTTCTAATTCTAATAATGATTTCAATATCATCAGTTTGTACTAAAATCATATTTGTTATTTTTTTCAGACTAGGTTCGAATACTTTTTAGTTGCAAAACTTCATCAAGACGATGCAAAATTAGGTTTGAAACATTATGCAGAGGAAGTACAAAATCATATCATTAAGGAATTAATCAAAAGTCATAGAAATTTCAATCTCGAGATATGTAGAGAATTTGAAGAACTTGAGAGGAAAGCCTTAAATATTCCAGAAAACACCAAAGATTTGCAGGAATTGGGTAATTATTATTTAATTTAATTCTTTACGTTTTATTTATTATTTATTTACAATTTTAATAATTTTTCCTTCATTTAATTTATTTTAAAGAAACTAAGACTAAAAATTTAAAAAAAAATCTAAGACGACCAAATGATAAATTAAAATATTAATTTACTTTAAATTTTCCCGATTTTAACATAAAAAATGTATAATAATTTCCAGGAAAATTTATGATTCATGCAACGACGAATTTAGTCGCTCAACTCAATGAAAAAGTATCCCTTTCATTATTTATGATGTCTTCATTACTTGAAATGACCTCCTTGGACAAAGATCACATTGAATTGAATAACACGACAGTTAATTGGTTGCAGCGCATTAAAATTATTTTCGAACAAAACAGTTCACTATTCGAGCAGAAGAAATTCGAACTCGAGGAATATCTACAAAACAAAGTCAATTCTCTCAATGCGAATATTGAAGAAATGTTCCCAAAGTATTTAGTATTTTTCATTAAATTATTACGTCAGAAAAGTTCACAAACTATGATCAAAGATTGAAAGAAAAAAAAATATTCCTCTTGATGAATACTATAAAATGTTTCGTTTACAAATTTAAATTTTTTTAAAGTACCTAATAATAATTTTTTTATAATAATTAATTTATTAATTAATAATTCATTTTTTAAAATTATTAATCAAAAAAACTATGCAAAGCATTTTTTGAACAAGAATATATAAAAATTTGAGTAGAAAAATATTTTTTCTTTTAAATCGTTGATTAGAAACTTTTGTGAACTTTATCAACGTCAATTATGAGATTAAATTGATTGATTAAAATTTAATTTCATGTAATTATTAATTGAACTCTATTATTTAATTTCATGTTGTCATATTCTTTCTTTTATTACAGATTGCAAATAATGGACGATATGGACGATGGAGAAAGAATAGGAGATTATATTGAATTTATGCGAAAATTCATAAGAAGCCTGGACAGAATGGACGAGCAAATCGAGTGGATTAATAGCGAGGAGGGACACTTTCAATTTCCATTGAGTGTTTATCCGAAAGTGAAAGAACTCAAAGAAATTATCCTACCGTATTATTCTCTTATTTATCGCGCCTATCAGTGGAAAAGAGATGAGGGAGTTTGGCTAGATGGACCTTTCGAGTATCTCGATGCAATTAGTATCGAGAATAGGACGACGGAATATTTTACAGATTTTTCGAAAACTAGTAAGACGTACAGGACGAAGATCAAAATGCATATTGCCATGGGATATCCGTACAGGTATTTATAAAGTTTAGTAGTTTCAAAAATTAATAATATATGTTCCAAAAAATAATATGTTTCACTGGGTTGCCACGCAACCTGGAAACCTGGAAATGTCAGAGAATTTTATAAACCTTGAAAAAAACCTGGAAAAGTCAGGGAATTTTGATCGAAGTCCTGGAAAATTGTTGTTTTCTAAAGTTATTGTGTTTATTCTTGAAATCTAATTTCACTTCAATATTTCAAAATTAATTCAATTTTAAAAGAGATGCGTTTACATTTTTCATAAGTAGATGAACTTCAAATGATTTTGATTTAAAATTTTGGTAAATTTCAATTTGAAATGAATTTAATTAGAAATTTTGAAAAACCTAGATTTTTAAAAAATTTTAACAACTAAAATTCTTTGGAAATTAGTTAAATTTTTTAATCTAAATATTTAATTGATTATTAAAAATAATGGGTTTATAGAAGAATTTTAGTTAAAACACTAAAACAAATTGAATTTTGAAGCAATTACAAATGATTGCAGAAATTCAATTATATTTTCAAAAGTTAGTAAAATTTTTCTCAGAAATTCAATTTTTTTCGGAAATTTAAATAAAATTCTTGGCAAAATTTCAATTATTTTCAAAAATTTTTCTCAATTAAATGATTTTCAATATCTAATATTTTAATCAAATTTTTTAAAAGAATTTAGTTATTTAAAAAAATTTAATAAAATTCTACGCAAACATTTAATTATTTTCATAAATAATAAAAATTTCATAGAAATCCAATTATTTTCAAAAGTATTAAAATTCTTCGCAGAAATTCAATTGTGTTCAAAAAATTATTTAAATTCTCATCAAATTTCAATTATCTTTATAAATAATTAAATTCTTCTCTGAAATTATTGAATTTCGAAAATTTGAATCTTGAATAAAATTCTACGCAAATATTCAATTATTTTAATAAATAATAGAAATTTTTTTAGGAATTCAATTACATACAAATTTTTTATAAATTTCTTCGCAATAATTCAATTATTTTCATAAATAATAAAATTTTTACAATGATTCAATTATTTTCGTAAATAATAAAATTCTTTTAGAAAATTAATTATTTTCATAAATAATAAAACTCATTTGAGAATTTCAATCATTTTTAATGCAATTTTAATCGAATTCCTCGAAAAATGTAATTATTCTTAAAAATTTTATTAAAATTCGTCGAAAGAATTCAATTATCTTAAAAACTTTTGCTACAATTTATTTATTACAATGTAAGTATTATTTTCTGTACATTTATAATTAAATTTCTTCAAAGAATTTAATTATTTCCACAAATTTTAATGAAATTCTTTGTAACAATTCAATTGTTTTCAAAAATTTTAAACTTTGTAAATTTTCATAAATAGAGGAACTTCAAGAGATTTTAATTTGAAATTTTAGAAAAAATTCAATTTGGAATGAATTTAATTAGAAATTTTAAAAAACTTATTGTTAGATTTTTGAAAAATGTTGAAAATTCAAATTTTTCTAATATTTCGTTAAATTTTTAATATATTTAATTAATTATTAAAAATAATGGAAGAAGAAGAAGTTCAATTATTTTCAACAGTAATAAAATTTTTCGCTGAAATTCTGTCCTACGTTCAAAGATTTTAAAAAATTCTCGTCAAAATTTCAATTAAATGTTTAAAAATTCTTCTCTGAAATTCAATTATTTTCAAAAATTTTAATAAAATTCTTGGCAGAATTTAAATTATTTTTAATACCTATCTACAATTTTCATCAAATTTCTCGACAAAATTCCTTAAAAGAAATCAATTATTTTCAAAAGTTGTTAATAAAATTCTTCGTAAAAATTCAATTTTAAGAAACATTCAACTATTCAATAAATTACTTCTTTTTGTATTTAAATAATTGAATTGTCGTAGTATTTTTTAATTAAACTTTATTTCAAAATAAATTTCTATTAAAATTTTAGATAATTTAATATTGAAAGCATTATAGCGTGGATTTTTAGAAATAATATTGAATTTTCAAACGGTTTCAAATTAAAATCTTTGAAAATTTGAACTTTTCATACTTTTAATTAAGAATTCTGTAGAATAAATTTTTTTCAAAAAGTTTAATTGAACTTTTTTTTAAATTATTTTAAGTTTTTAATTTTTAATATATTTAATTGAAAAATTTCAGAATAATCGAAATTTCGCAGATTGAATTAAATTGTAAACAAAAGAATTTGAAAATTCTCAAAAAACTTTTTCAAAAATTATTTTAAAAATAATTGACTGAAAGAAGAATTTTAGTTGATAATTCTAGAAATAAATAATCGTAATAATGAAAATAATTTTTGAAGGAGTTACAGTAACAAAATAACAAGTTTTAATTATTACAAAACATGAAGAAAGCGATCACTCCGAGTCGAAGACTCGGAGTTATCGATATCTTTATGTTTTTTAATAATATTCTTCTATGTAAGTGAATTTGAAATTTTTGAAATATTTTTGAAATATGAAAAAATAATAATGATGATTAAATATTTATTTAAAATTAAGTTATTGATGTTTTCAAATAATTTTCGTTTTGAAAACCTGGAAAAATTCCGTTTTTTAACCTGGAAAACCTGTAAAAGTCAGGGAATTTGAAAAGAGCAAAAGCGTGGCAACCTTGGTTTCATTAATATGTTTCAAAAAAAGTAAATTTTGCACTTATTAACAATAAACAGTTTTGCAGGATCCGTGGATGATCCAGATCCTTTTCAGCAACCTGCACCAATGAAATTGTGCCATCAATTATTAGACGAGGTTAAATGGTTCAAGGTAATGGATTTTAAATTGAATTTATTTTTTCAATTTTGATACATTTGTAAATATTTTTGCAGCAATACGTTCCACTGGCTCTTTGCTTTTGCAATCCTGCTCTCCGTCAAAGACACTGGGATGAAATGTCACTAATTGCTGGTTTCGATTTGACTCCAAATGCTGGAACCACACTTCGGAAAATGATAGCCATGAATCTACTCGAAAATTTGGAGGAGTAAGTTATTTGTAGATATTAACCCGGTTAGAAGAGATTGATTAAAATATATTGGACGTGGTTCAAGTTCTCTTCAAATACAGTTGCCAATGAGAATATTTCCCTATTAAATACGAATTATTTTATGTTCCTAAAGTTCTAAAAGTTCAAACGAATGAATTTATTTATTTATTCTTTGAATTAAAATTTTTATATCAATAAAATATTACGTCACGTATAAAAAATAATAATAAATAAATAAATAAATAAAAATAAATAAAATAACAAATAATAATATTTATATTTTGTAAATGTTTAATTTTTAATTTTTTAATGTTTAATTTTTATGCTTTCTATAAGTCAGTAATTTTTGAAAATATTTATATTACAAAAAAATCGTTCATTCGAACATTTGAGAACTTGTGGATCATCTGATATTTTTTTTTTATCAAATTTGTTATTGAAGATTGACAAATATTTTTCAGGTACGAGATTATTAGTACGAGTGGAACAAAAGAGCTTGCGTTGCAGCAACTTCTTTCGAAAATGATCCACGAGTGGGACGACGTAGTTTTTACCACAATGTCCTTCAAAGATTCTGGTGTCAATATTCTGACACAATTAGATGACATTGTTGCTTTATTGGAAGAACATATCGTCAAAGTTCAAGCAATGAGAGGATCGGCTTTTGTAAAACCAATCGAGGAGGAAGTGAAAATCTTTTACGAATTGCTTTTGAGAATACAAAGAACTATCGAAGAATGGACAAAGGTTTGATTTCGAAAAATATATATCAGTAATATTTCTTACAAATTAATTTCATTTTATATTTATTAATGACATTTTATACTTATTAATAACAATAACAATTTATATTTATGAATTACATTTTATAATTATTAATAACAATCTACGTTTATAAAAATAACAATTTATATTTATAAATTACATTTTACATTTATTAATTACATTTAATATTTATTAATAGCATTTACACATATTAATAACAATTTATATTTATTAATTACATTTTACATCTATTAATAACAATTTAAATTTATTAAAAACATTTTACATTTATTAATAAGTAATAACATTTTACATTTTGTATTCCAGGTGCAAGTTCAATGGATGTATCTTCTGCCGATTTTCTCCAGTAAAGATATTGTTGCGCAACTACCGGAAGAAGGAATTTTGTTCTCGGAAGTTGATTCAATGTTTCGTAAGGCAATGAATGGAGTCTTCAGAGAGCCGAGAGTTAAAAACACCGCAGGCTCTGTTAGTAATGATTGAAATCTTTTTTCTCCTTTTCTTATTTTTATTTATTTCTTTATTTTTTTCCATACGAGCAATTGCCTACTAATTTCGGCTTTTAGTTTCCGAACATAATCGAACTTGTTCTTTTCTTTTTTTTTTTTATTAATTTCACAGTTGGGTCTCTACGAGAGTATGAAAGACGCCAATGAAATAATGGAGAAAGTACAAGAAGGAGTAGTAAATTACCTCGAAAAGAAGAGACTATATTTCCCTCGATTCTTTTTCCTTAGTAATGATGATATGTTGGAGATTCTCTCCGAAACAAAGGATCCCCTTCGAGTGCAGCCTCATTTGAAAAAGTGCTTCGAGGGAATAGCAAAACTCGGGTAAAATACTTTTAGAAAATTTTTTACAAAAATTTTTAGAAAAATTACTTTAGAAAAACTATATCTGAAAAAAAAATTTATTTGATTCAACATTTCAATCAATAAATTTAATTCTTAAAGCAAACACAATTTAATTGATGTAAATAAAAATTATTTGATTCAAGTAAATATTTCATTGATAATAGACAAAATAATAGACATTGTTAACCGATTTCATATTCAAATAAATCGATTATTTGAATGAAATAAATTTTTTTTTTCAGTCTACTACATTTTAATTTTTTTTTATTCTTATATTATGTCCGTCAGGTTCTAAACGTTTTTATTGCGTTTTTTTATTTATTAATAATACAGGCTTCGATAATTAATTTTAGAAAAGTAAAGAAGCTATTGAAAAATTAAATTATTTAAATACAAAAATAAATAGATTATTGAATAATTGAATATTTCTTAAAATTGAATTCTTGTAAAGAAATTTATCAAAAATTTTTGAAATAATTGAATTCTTTCGAAGAATTTTAATAAAATTTTCAAGAATAATTGCATTTTTCGAGAAATTTCTTAAAAATTGTATTAAAAATATTTGGAATAATGAGATGAGTCTTATTATTTATAAAAATAATTGGATTCATTTAAAATTGTGTTTAAAAAAATTGAAATTAAATTAAATTAAATTGAACGTAATTAAATTCATCAAGAAATTTTATTCAAATTATAAAAAAAAAATAATAAAAAAAAATAAAAAAAAAAATAATAAAAATTAAATAATTGAATTTTTCAGACGAATTTCATAACTTATGAAAATAATTAAATTCTTGTTACGAATTTTATTAAAAAATTTTATTTTAAATAATTGAATTACTTTGAGAAATTTCATTGAAATAGTGAATATTGAAAATAATTGAATTTCGAAAAATTTTTGAAATTAGGTAATTAAATTTTGACGAACAATTTTATTAAAATTCTTTGAAAACAGTTTCAATTGTTACGAAAAATGTCATTAAAAATCTTTTAGAATAATTGAATTCTTTCGAAGAATTTTAATAAAATTTTTAAGAATAATTGCATTTTTCGACAAATTTATTTAAAATTGTATTAAAAATAATTGAAATCCTGCGATGAGTTTTATTATTTATAAAAAAAATTGGATTCTTGGAAGAAATTTTATTAAAAATTGAAAAAATAATTCAATTCTTGTGAAGAATTTTATAAAAAATAAATATTTTTCGGAAAATTGTATGAAAATTATGTTTTAAATAATTGAACATATCAGAACTTGAGGATTATTTTATATTTTCCAATTAATAATTGAAATTCCATTTTTAAAAATGTTCTGAAAAAAATTGACTTATTTTCAATTTTACAGGTTCAATGAAAGTTTGGAAATTTTCTCCATGTTTAGTGACGATAAAGAAGAGGTGAAATTCGAAAATATTATTTCAACAACGGCAGCTCGAGGTTGCGTTGAAAAGTGGCTTGTGCAGGTCTTTCTTTTGAAGTAAACAAATTAAAAATTTCTCTTTTAGGAGAAAATTATTAACTTCCAAAGTTGTTGTTAACTAGGTGGAAGAGCAAATGGTCAAATCAATAAGACACGAAGTTTTAATGAGCTATCGAGACTATGAAATAAACGAAAGAGTTTCCTGGGTTTTACTTTGGCCTGGAATGGTTGTTCTTTGTGTCTCACAAATTTATTGGTGTATCGACGTTCAAAATTCTTTGATTACTCACATGAAATCTGTTTTGGAATCTCTTTACGATAAATTGAGGAGGCAGATTTTTGACATGGTCAATATTGTGAAAGGTAATTCCAAATAATTATTTAGGTACAAAATTATTTAGTTTATACAAAAGTATTTAGTTTATACAAAAGTATTTAGTATGTACAAAATTATTTAGTTTATACAAAATTATTTAGTTTATATAGAAAATTAGTTAGAAAAGAAAAATATTACAAAAAGTATTTAGTAAAAAGTACAAAATAGAAAATTAATTTCGAAAACTTTTCAGGACGTTTGTCGAAGCAGAACAGAACGACTTTGAATGCATTGATAACAATCGATGTACACGCCTATGATGTGGTAAAATTATTGATCGATAAAAATGTGACAAGTGAAACTGATTTTGAATGGTTGGCGCAATTACGATATTATTGGGAAGACGACGTTTTCGTGAGAATCATAAACGCTACTGTTTCGTATGCTTACGAATATTTGGGAAATTGTCCCCGTTTAGTGATAACTCCTTTAACAGACAGGTAAATTACTAATTACGAAAATAATTCTAATTTTCACCGAAAAAATTATTTTACGACAAATTTTTACAGGTGTTATCGAACATTGATTGGAGCGTATTCTCTGCACCTGAACGGAGCGCCTGAAGGACCGGCAGGAACGGGAAAAACCGAGACAGTCAAGGACCTCGCTAGAGCACTGGCGATTCAGTGCGTCGTTTTCAATTGTTCAGAAGGTCTCGATTACAAGAATATGGGAAAATTCTTCAAAGGACTCGCATCTTGCGGAGCTTGGGCCTGTTTCGATGAATTCAATCGAATTGAACTCGAAGTATTGTCAGTGGTAGCTCAACAAATTCTCTGCATCATTCAAGCGGTTCGAGGGAATTTCGAGAAATTTATCTTCGAAGGCACCGAATTGACGCTCAATCCTGCGGTCTACGTGTGCATTACAATGAATCCGGGTTATGCCGGTAGATCCGAGCTGCCGGATAATTTGAAAGTACTTTTCAGAACTGTCGCGATGATGGTTCCGGATTACGCGATGATTGGAGAAATATTTCTCTACTCGTCAGGTTTCACGAATGCAAGAGTCCTGTCGGTAAAAATTGTCACGACCTACAAACTCTGCTCGGAGCAACTTTCATCACAGTCGCACTACGATTACGGAATGCGAGCCGTGAAGACAGTTTTAATAGCAGCTCAGAATATGAAACTAAAATATCCGAATGAGGACGAAATGATTCTGATGCTAAGATCCATAATCGATGTTAATTTACCGAAATTTCTAGCTCATGATGTTCCGCTCTTCGAAGGGATAATTTCGGATTTATTTCCTGATACAGCGTTACCGACTCCTGATTATGAGGTACTTTTGAAAGCCATTGAGGAGGTGATGAGAAGAAGAAATCTACAACCAGTGGACGGATTTTTGTTGAAAATTATTCAAGTCTTCGAGATGATGATCGTGAGACATGGATTTATGCTAGTCGGTGATCCTTGTGGAGGAAAGACGACTTGTTTGAGAACTCTCGCGGAGACGTTGACTTTGATGCAGGAATGGGGTGACGAGAATGGAGCGAAAACGAAATTTTTTACTATGAATCCGAAAGCAATTACGATGGGTCAACTTTATGGACAATTCGATCCTGTGTCTTCGGAATGGACGGATGGAATTTGTGCGGTAGCGTTTCGTGACTACTGCTCGGAGGAGAGTGTGGACAGAAAATGGTTGATCTTTGATGGACCGGTCGATGCGGTTTGGATTGAAAATTTGAACACAGTTCTGGACGATAATAAAAAATTGTGTCTCACCTCAGGAGAAGTGATGCAGATGACAAACGTAATGTCCATGATATTTGAGGCAATGGACCTCCTGCAGGCGTCTCCCGCCACTGTCTCACGCTGCGGAATGATTTACATGGAACCTCACATTTTAGGCTGGCGACCTTACGCTAAATCTTGGATCAAAAATATTGATAATCGCTGGAGAGAAGGTCACGAAGAATTTCTTACCGAAATTCTCGAATGGCTCATCGATCCCTGTTTGGAATTCACTCGAAAAAAATGTCGACTAACAGTCACAGCTGGTCAAATTAATCAAGTAATATCAACTCTGAATTTATTGGAAATGTACATGAAGGACGCAATAGACGAGGCTCAACAAGAATACGAAGATTACATCATCTCCTGGATTCAAGCTTCCACCCTCTTGGCAATTGTTTGGGGAATCGGCGGAACTCTAGATTCAGATTCCCGCGACGCTTTCAATGAATACTTTCTATCTTTCTGGAAAAACGAACAACCCGGATTTTCTCCCCCAGGAAAAATATCGGAAGCATTAATCTCATTGCCGTCCGATGGTATAATTCACGACAACTATTACCTGTTCAAAGGAAAGGGAGCTTGGAAAAATTATGCCGATTTGGCAAAAATTGAAAAACTTGTCGAAACTCAGAGTATGAGTCAAATGGTGGTGCCAACTATCGATACCATGAAGTATCAGAATTTATTTTTGAGACACATAAAGAGTAGGAAGAGATTTCTCTTGTATGGCGAAACGGGAACTGGAAAGACATTTTACATTCAGGATTTGATGATGAATAAATTGGAGGAGGAGAAATATCTTTCGAATTTTATAACGTTTACGCCAAAAACAACGGCTGCACAAACTCAGGAATTGGTGCTTTCCAAACTTTTTAAGAGGAGGAAAGGACACTATGGACCAATGGGAGGAAGTTATTGTTTGGTGTTCATTGACGATGTTAATATGCCTAGTAAGGAGGTCTATGGTGCGCAGCCTCCCATTGAATTGCTCAGGCAATTTTTCGATCATGAACAATGGTAAATATGAGACTTTAAAAAAATTGTATAGGCTCGAAAAAATCGTTTTATTGTCGTGTAAAGGGGGTTAAAAATCGAAGTTTATAGGCTAAGTGACGTCAGAGGGAAAAAAAGTGGTGACGCAGGGGAAAAAAGGCCCGCGCAGCAGATACGCGCCTGCGCATCCCTTTCTTCCCCTGCTAATCATAATGAATTTAATTGTCACAGTTGGCAACATTTTCTACTATTTGGGTAATTTTTTTTAGAATTCAGCTACAAGCTACTATTTCTGTTTCTTTTTTGAGAATTTCCACTACTTTAAATTCGTTAATATTAGAAATTAAAAAACTGTTCTCAAAAATTATAATCAAATTCTTTAAAACGATTCAATTATTTTCAAAAAATATTCGAAACTCAATTATTTTCAATATCTAGTATTTTCATAAAATTCCGCAAAAGAAATCAATTACTTAGAAAAAATTGATAAAATTCATCCAAAATTCAATTACTCTAATTATTTTCATAAATAATAAAATTTCAACAAGAATTGAATTAATTTAGAATGGATTTTCAAAAAAATTTCGAATAAATGAATTATTTAACAACATTTTTATATAATTCTTCACAATATGTAATTTAATTACTTTCACTAAAAACATTTTTCATGTAAATTAAATTTTTTTTTAAAAATGTTTGATAAAATTCTAACAATTCAATTATTTTCATAAATAATAAAACTGAGCGAAGAATTTCAATTATTTTTAATACTATTTTAAATTAATTAATCGAAAAATTCAATTATTTTCACAAATAAAGTTTTCGACAAGAATTCTATTATTTAAAAAAAATTTTCATGATATTTATTATATTTCGAAAAAATTAATTATTTAAAACAATGTTTTTAAAATTCTTATAAAGAATTCAATTATTTTCAAAAATAACCAAATTTTTCACAGTAATTCAATTCTTTTTAAACATTTTAATAAACTTTTTCGCAATAATTCAATTATTTTTATAAATAATAAAATTCTTCTCAGGAATTCAATTATTTTTGAAAATTTTAATAAAATTCTTTCCAACTATACAATTATTTTCATAAATAATAAAAGTCATAGCAGGATTTCAATTATTTTTAATACAATTTTAATTAAATTTTTTTGATTTGATTCAATTCTTCTTTTGGATTTTAATAAAATTCTTCCCTAGAATTCAATTATTCACATAAATAATTCTTCGAAAGAATTCAATTATTAAAAATAAATATAACAAAATTATTTTCGAAAATTCAATTATTTTGAGGCATTTTAATAAAATTCTTTGCAAAATTAAATTATTTTCATAAATAACAATATTCATCACAAGAATTCAATTATTTTTAAAAGTAATAAATTTTTTCTTCGAAATTCAATTATTTAGAAAAATTCTAATAGAATCGTTCGCAAGAATTCAATTTTAATGTTTTTACAGATAATAAAATACTTTTTAGGAATTCAATTATTCTCAAAAAAAATTTAATTAAATGTCACACAGACATTCAATTATTATTCTCCAAAATTTTATTAGAATTCTTTGTAAAATCTATCTTCTATATTAATAATCTTTGTATTCCGGTAATCTGTTCGCAGTTTGAAGTAATTTTACTTTTTTGTTTCCTAACTTAATTTTTAATAATTTTTATTTTCAATTTTAAAATTCATGTATTGAAAATCATCGAATTGTTGAAACGAATTTTTTTAAAAAATTTGATAATAATAGAATGCCTACGAAAAATTTTATTATTTAGGAAAATAATTGAATTCTCGCGAAGAATTCTGTTAAAATTTTTGAAAATTCTAATTAAATTCTTTTTGAAGAATTTCTTTGGATTTTTTTTTAAATTATGGAGTTAGTTTCTTTAATAATTTTAATTAAAAATTTTGAAAATGATTGAATTTTATGAACAATTTCTTTCAAGGTTTCAAAATAATCGTGATTTATAATAATTTACATTAAACATTTAATTATTGGATATTATTAAAATTTTAGAATGTAATTAAATTCTTTTGAAAAACTTTATAGCGAACAAGCTGTCGTACACCCATCTTCGACGGGTTTTAGTTTCTACAAATACATTTAACAGTGTTTCAACAAATCTGGAAAATCAAAAAATAGCCGGGAATTTAATTTGACCGGAAAAAATAATAATTAGTTTTTATTAGCTATTTCGGTAGCAAAATATCACTATTTGAATAGTCTCCACCCTTTGGCAAAAAATAAAAAATTATTAAAAATTATCAAAAATTCGAAAATCCGAATTTCTTAAAATTCAACATTTTTACTTCGTGGTTTTATGCACGAATGGCATTTAACTTCATTATTTTTGGGCTCTTTAAAAACACTTTACTTATTTAATAATCTTCACCCTTTGGCAAAAAATTGAAAATTATCTAAAATTATCAAAAATTCGAAAAACCGAATTTCTCAAAATTCAAAATATTTTCTTCTTTTTTATGGCATTTAGCTTCATTATTTTTGTGCTCTTCGAAAATACTTTATCTAATTTGTTATCTCCACCCTTTGGTAAAAAATCTAAAATTATGGAAAATTAGCAAAAATTCAAAAAACTGAATTTCTTAAAATTCAACATTTTTCCTTCTTTTTTATGGCATTTAGCTTCATTATTTTTGGGCTCTTCAAAAATACTCTACTTATATAATTGTCTCCACCCTTTGTCAAAAAATAAAAAATTATTAGAATTGTCAAAAATTCGAAAATCCGAATTTCTTAAAATTCAACTTTTTTTCTTCTCTTTTATGGCATTTAGCTTTATTATTTTTGGGCTCTTCAAAAACACTCTACTTATTTAATTGTCTCCACCCTTTGGCAAAAAATCAGAAATTATTAAAAATTATTAAAAATTCGAAAAACCGAATTTCTTAAAATTCAACATTTTTTCTTCTGTTTTTCAATCAAGAAAATTGTAATATGAAAATTTTTCTATATATTATTTGAGAAGTAATTAAATTTTTAATTACTTTTATTTATTTTTTTATTTACAGGTTTGATTTGAAAGAACCATTTGCGATTCAACTCTACGACCTAATGTTCATGTGCGCAATGGCGCCACCAGGAGGCAGTCGGCAAGAGATCTATCACAGATTTCTGAGACATTTCAATTTGTATTCAATCAACAATTTCTCGAGGGAGAGTATTTTCAAAATATTCACCAGCGTGGCTCTAATCGGACTGAAAAGAAACGGCTTTGCGACAGACATTATCACGACGGTGAATAGCGTCATAAATGCAACAATTTCAGTCTTCAACAGCGCAATCAGTGATCTCAGACCAACGCCAGCCAAGTCGCATTATCTATTCAATCTAAGAGATTTTGCTAGAGTCGTCACTGGTTGCACGATGATCAAGAAGGAATCGGCTGAGACGAAAACAGTGTTTACTCGACTCTGGGTACACGAGATTTTGCGCGTTTTTGGCGATCGTCTCATAGACACGAGCGATCGAGTTTGGCTTTTTGAAAAATTGAAAGACACAGTTCTTGGGGTTTTTAAGGAATCGTTTGATTATGTTTTTGACGATTTGCCTAAATTTGGTGATCAATTGACTGAAGAGAGTATGAAGAGTTTGATATTTGGTGACTTTATGGATGTTGATGCGATACCGGAGGACAGAAAGTATGAGGAAATTGTGTCGATGGAGGAGTATAAAAATGTGGCTCTGTCTTGTTTGGAGGATTATAATAATACTCATAGGAATAAAATGAATATTGTTCTGTTTCGATATGCACTGGAGCATCTTGCTCGGATTTGTAGGATTATTGCAACTCCTGTCGGAAGTTTGCTGATGGTGGGCGTTGGTGGATCTGGAAGACAATCTTTGACGAGACTCGCAGCAAGTAAGTTTTTCAGGGTTGCCACAGGTCAGGGAATTCAGGGAAAAGTCAGGGATTTTTGTTAAAAGTACTGGAAAAAATTGAATTTTTAAAATTCACGAGAAAACTCTGGATTTTGATGCTTTTTTTGTTTGCCTCGTAAACTATGAAATTACCACGAATTTTAATACAAAACCTTCAATTTTTTCTATTTCTGACAATAATTTTATTTCTTTTTAAATAACTTAATTCTTGGAGATCTATCATAAAATTATTACTTATAAATTATTTAATGAATCATTTTTACAATTTTTATAAATACTAGATTAATAGACGAATTTTAGTTAAAAATACTAAAAAAATTTGAATTTTGGAAAAGTTACAAATGATTCCAGAAATTTAATTATTTTCAAAAGTTATAAAAATTCTTCACAAAATTTCAATTATGTTAAAAAATGTTTAAAAAATTCTGGTCAAAATTTCAATTATCTTTATAAATAATAAAATTGTTCCTCAAAATTCAATTATTTTTAAAAATTTTAATAAAATTCTTGACAAAATTTCAAAGGAATTCAATCATTTACAAAATTTTTATAAAATTCTTCGAAATAATTCAATTATATTCATAGGTAATAAAATTTTTATAGAAATTCAATTATTTAAAAATATTTATTATAAAATTCATCGCAAGAATTCAATTATTTAAAAAAAATTGAACAAAGTTCTTTTCAAGAATTCAATATTGTTTTTATAATTAATAAAATTCTTTACCGAAATTCAATTATTTTTTAAAGTTTTTTTAATAATAATCATTAAAAAAATTCAATTATTTTCAAAAATTAAAAAAAAAAATTTTATCAAAATTTCTAGTATTTTTATAAATAATAAAATTCTTTTCCAAAATTCAATTATTTTAGAAAAATTTAAATAAAATTCTTTACAAAGTTTCACAGGAATTCAATTATTTACAAAATTTTTAATCAATTTCTTCGAAATAATTCAATTATTTTCATAAGTAATAAAATTTTCACAGGAATTTAATTATTAAAAATAGAAAATTTCATAAAATTTTTCAAAAAATATCAAATACCTATTTAAAAAGATTTTTAAATAAAATTCGTCGTGAGAATTCAATTATTTTTAAAAATTTAACAAATTTCTTTCCAAGAATTCAATTATTTTTAGAAATAATAAAATTCTTTTCCAAAATTCAATTATTTTACAAAAATTTTAATAAAATTCTTGACAAAATTTCACAGGAATTCAATTATTTACAAAATTTGTAATCAATTTCTTCGAAATAATTCAATTATTTTCATAAGTAATAAAATTATTATTAAAATTTTCACAGGAATTTAATTATTAAAAATAGAAAATTTCATAAAATTTTTCGAAAAATATCAAATATTTAAAAAGATTTTTAAATAAAATTCGTCGCAAGAATTCAATTATTTTTAAAAATTTAACAAATTTCTTTTCAAGAATTCAATTATTTTTATAAATAATAAAATTCTTCAACAAAATTCAATTATTTTTATAAACTTGAACAAAATTCGTTGCAAGAATTCAATTATTTATATAAATAATAAAATTTTTTTCCGACATTCAATTATTTTTATAAACTTGAATAAAATTTGTTGGAAGAATTAAATTATTTTCGGAAGTAATAAAATTCTTCGCAGAAATTCAATTATATTAAAAAATTTTTTAAAAAAATTGTTGTCAAAATTTCAAGTATCTTTATAAATAATAAAATTCTTTTCCGAAATTCAATATTATTTTAGAAAAATTTTAATAAAATTCTTGGGAAAATTTGATTTATTTTTATAAATAATAAAACTCATCGCATGGTTTTAATTATTTTTTATACAGTATTTTAATCGAATTCCTTGAAAAATGTAAATATTCTTAAGATTTTTATTAAAATTTGTCAAAAGAATTCAATTATTTAAAAATTTGTTGATAAAATTCTTTATGAGAATTCAATTTTAACAAACATTCAATTATTCAATAAATTATTTTTTTTAATTTAAATAATTGAATTCTTCTATAGAAGTTTCTAATAAAAATTGATTTAAAAATGAATTACCGAATAATCGATTTATTATTTATGAAAATAATTCAATTATTGCAACGAATTTTATTACATATTTTTTAAATAATTGAATTTTTTTGAGAAATTTTACTATTTGTAAAAATAATTGAATTCTTGCAAAGGATTATTGTAAATAATTTAAACTTTTTTTTGAAAAATTTTCTAATAATTTAAATTATTACAAAACATGAAGAAGACGATTACTCCGAATCTTCGACTTGGAGTATTCGCCTTCTTCATGTTTTGTAATAATATTCTTATAAGTTGTTGAATTTCAAAAAGCTTTGAATTTGAATGTTTTGAAGAATTTTAATTCCCATGGAAAAATAATAATGATTTAATATTTATTTAAAAAAGAAGCAATTGATGTTTTTGAATAATTTTACAATTTAAGAAATTTGTAAATAAGTGTAATAGAACATTTTTTTTGAGTATCTAATAATTTTTAGAGTGAATTAGAATATTCTTTAGGGTCAGGGAAAAAGGCAAAATCAGTCAGGAAATAGTCTGGAAATCAGGGAAAAGTCAGGGAAAAAAATAAAATATTTGTGGCAACCCTGCATTTTTCAAAAAGTTTTTAAACGGTTTTTGTTTTTAATTTTGTGACGCGAATTTTGTTTTCTTCGGAAACATATTCCGAAGAATATTTTTCGGAATAATTTTCATTCCACTTTATCAATTTCAGGTATGGCTGGTTACGCACTATTTCAACCGGAAATAGGCAGTGCCTACGGTGTCAATGAATGGCGAGATGATCTAAAGAAGGTTTTGAAAAATTCCGGAGGAACGGGAAAAGATTTGGTATTTCTCTTCACCGAGGGTCAAATTAAGGAAGAAGTATTTTTGAGCGACATCGATAGTCTTCTGAATTCCGGAGAAGTGCCGAATCTTTTCTCAGTGGAAGAGAAACAGGAAATTATTGAAATGACAAGATTGGCGGCTCAAGGAGGAAATCGAAATTTGGACATATCGATAATGTCGGTACTGGGATTTTTCGTAAATCGCTGTCGAGAGAAACTGCATCTTATGATTTGCTTCAGTCCCGTTGGAGAATCATTTCGAACTAGATTGCGACTCTATCCGAGTTTAGTTAATTGTTGTACAATCGATTGGTTCGAAATATGGCCCGAGGATGCATTAGAGCAAGTTGCTGTTAGATTCATAACGGATTTGAACGTTACGGAGAGTGTGAAGACAAATGCTGTTGTTGCTTGTAAATATTTTCATATCTGCGCAAAGGATATTAGTACTCGATTTTATGAAGCGTCGGGGAGAAAAACTTACATCACTTCGGCTGCTTTTTTGGATCTGATCAAAGCTTACAGGGATTTGACGAATTTGAAACAAGAGGAACTGATTCTCGCCAGGTAAATAAATTGTATTTATTTGTTAAATTTAATAATTTACAACTAATAGTCTAATAGACTAATAGATCTAAAAATATAGTCTAAATAGTTATTAAATTGTTGCCTTTTTCAGAGATCGGTATTTGAATGGTTTGGACAAACTGGATTACGCTGCGCAACAAATTGAGAAAATGAAAAAGACCCTTTCAGCCTTAAGACCTGAACTGGAAAATTCGGCCAAGTTGACGACAGTGACGATGAAGAAAATCGAAAGTGAGAATATTGCGGTTGAAAAGGCGACAATTTTGGTGAAGAAAGATGAAGTTGTGGCGAATGAACAGGCAGAGATTGCAGGAGCTCTGAAAGCAGAATGTGAAGCTGATTTGGCAGAGGCTTTGCCAATTCTCGAGGAAGCGATAGCTGCTTTAAATACATTAAAACCTGCGGACATAACATTGGTGAAGTCGATGAAGAATCCTCCTCAGGGAGTTAAACTCGTCATGGCGGCGGTTTGTGTCATGCTGAATGTTCCTGCAGACAGATTGACCGATCCAACAAGTGGCAGAATTGTTCTAGACTATTGGGGTCCGAGTAAACGAATTCTCAACGATATTGAATTTTTGCACTATTTACGAGATTACGATAAGGACAATATTCCCATTCAAACCATGCAGGTGGGTAAAACATTTATTTGATGAAAAAATCAAAACGAAACCGAAAAGTTAAAAACTAAATTTGATTTCAAAACTTCTTTGACATCCTTTTTATAATGAAAGAAATGCATAATTCGAAAAATATTAAAACACAGACTTCGCACTCGATAATTAATTTTAAAAAAGTAGCAAAAAGTAGATTGCAAACTAAAAAAATAGTGAAAAAGTAGCTATGGAAAAATTAAACTTGACGACCAAAAAAACTCGTTTAATACATTTCGCAAAACTAACAAAAATTCCATTCTATATTTTATTTTCTTGACGATTTCCTAATTTTCATAAAAAATATTTACTTCTTTCTTATCCTGCTAATAAATTGAAATTCTCCAACGAATTTTATTATTCATGAAAGAATTTAAATATTCATAAAAATAATTTAATTCTTACGAAGAATTTTATCAAAATTTTTAAATAATTGATTTTTGTCGACTAATTTTATGCAAATTCTAATTTAAATAATTGAATTCCTCAAAAATTTTTATTATTCATGTAAAGAATTGAATTCTTACAAAGATTTTTTCAAAAAAATTTTTTAAATAATTGAATTCTGTTTGAAAACTTTAGGAAAATAGTAGATATTGAAAATCTTTTAATGTCGAGAATTTTTAAAAATAATTAAATTTTACAAAGAATTTTATTAAAATTTTTGTGAATGTCTATGTGGAATTTTATTGAATTTTATTGAAAATAATTAAATTCGTAAAAAGCATTTTATTATTTAGGAAAATAAAAAATCGAATTCTTGCGAACAATTTTATTAGAACTTTTTTAAATAATTGAATTTCCAAAAAGAAATTTATTATTTTAAAAATAATAATTGAATTGCGAAAAATATTGTTACTTATGAAAATAATTGAATTTGGAAAGAATTTTATTAAAATGCATCAAAATATAATTAAATTTTCGGGAATAATTTTGTTATTTATCGACACAATTGAATTCTTTCCAAGAGTTATTTATGTCAAAAATTGAATTCTTGGGAAGAATTTTCATAAAATCTAAAAGAATAATTGAATTATTTAAAAAAAATTTAATTAAAATTGTATTTAAAATAATTGATTTCTTTTGAACAATTTTATTAAAATAATTGAAAATAATTGAATTGCTGTGAAAAATTCTAATATTTTTATAAATAATTGAATTCTAACAAAGAATTTAAAAAAAATATTTTTGTCAATAATTAATTTTTTCAAGGAATTGAAATTAAATTTTTAAGAATAATTACATTTTTTGATAAATTCCTGTAAAATTGTATTAAAAATAATTGAAATCCTGCGATGAATTTTTTATTTATGAAAATAATTGAATAGTTGCTAAGAATTTTATTAAAATTTTCAAAAATAATGTTATTCCTGAGAATAATTTAATTTTTTTTTTATAAAAATAATTGAATTATTATTGTGAAAAATTTTATTAAAATGTTTAAAATGAATTGAATTTCTGTTAAAAATTTTGTTATTTTTGAAAATAATTGAATTCTTCATAAGAATTTTATAAACATTGTTTTAAATAAATAATTTTTTCAAAATATAATAAATATTATGGAAATTTTATTTTAAATAATTGAATTCTTGCGGAGAATTGTATTTGTGAAAATAATTGAATTCTTCGATTAATTAATTTAAAATATAGTATTAAAAATAATTGTAATTCTTCGATGAGTTTTATTATTTATGAAAATAATTGAATTCTTGTTGAAATTTTATTATTTATGAAAATAATGAGAATAATTGAATTTTTCGATTAATTAATTTAAAATAGTATTAAAAATAATTGTAATTCTTCGATGAGTTTCATCTATTATGAAAATAATTGAATTCTTACTTAGAATTTTATCAAAATTTTTTTTTAAAATTGACTTTTTATGAAAAATGTTATTTATTGAAAGTATTTTAATTATATTATGAAGAATTGTATAAAAATTTTGTTAAATAATAGATTTTTTTGAAATTTTTTTGAAAATGCTATTCTAAATTAATTGAATTCTTTTGCGGAATTTTATGAAAATACTAGATATTCAAAATAATTGAGTTTCGAATATTTTTTGAAAATAATTGAATCGTTTTAAAGAATTTGATTATAATTTTCGAGAATAGTTTATTATTTGATATTATATTATTATATTGATTTCTAGTATTAGCGAATTTGAAGTAGTGTTAATTCTAAAAAAAAACCAGAAATAGGATCTTTGAGTGGCTGAAGTCTAAAAAAAGTTTCCAAATAGTAGCATAACGGAAAAACTATTGTTAATATTAAAAAAAATTTTTTCGCAGGTAATAAAACGTGTTTATCTAAAGGATAAAAACTTCGAGCCTCGCATAGTTGCAAAAGCTTCTTCAGCCGCCGAGGGTCTCTGCAAATGGGTGCGAGCCATGGTTCTGTACGATAAAGTCGCGAAAGTTGTTGCTCCAAAAAGGGAGAAACTCGCGGAGGCAGAAAAATCATTTCAGAATGTTATGAATATTCTAAACGAGAAACGACAAGCATTGGCTGAACTAAATGAAAAATTAGCGGCCCTGAATGTCAGCCTTCAAAATATTCTAGCGAAGAAAATAGATCTTGAAAACCAGGTAATAAATAATTCGAAAAATATAATGTACCTAAAAGAATTTATTTCTCGGAATCAATAGTCAAGTAACAATTTAGTTCACTTTGATTTTCTTCCTTTATTTTATTTTTTCTGTTCTTTCTAACGTAATAAAAAAAATGGAGCGAAAGAATTTTCATCAGATAGCCTATTACAATTCTCCTTTCATTGTATTTTTTTCTATTCTTTCTAACGTGATAAATAAATGGAGGGGAAGAATTTTCATCAGATAGCCTATTACAATTGTTTTTCTTTTTGAACAGGTGACAAATTGTAAAAATAAGCTAATGCGAGCTGAAAAATTAATAAGTGGCTTAGGAGGAGAAAAAGAACGTTGGATCCTATGCGCAGAAAATCTCCAAAAATCATTCGATACTTTACCAGGCGATATTCTAATTTCCTGCGGTATGATCGCCTATTTGGGACCATTCACAACAGCCTATCGAGTAGAAAACATCGAAAAGTGGAGGAACTACGTAAAAGGCTTAAAAATACCCTGCTCGGATGAATACAACTTCATTGAAGTTCTAGGCTCCGAAATAAAGATAAATTCCTGGAATATCTTTGGATTGCCACGTGATTCATTCTCAACCGAAAATGCAATTATAATGGACAATTCAATGCGATGGAGTCTTTTCGTTGATCCTCAGAGTCAAGCCAACAAGTGGATTCGGCACATGGAGAAGGCGAGTGAACTGGAAGTTGTTAAATTAACAGATTCTAACTACATGGACATTATAGAAACCTGCATTGAATATGGAAAGCCGGTTTTAATCGAAAATATCGGAGAAACACTGGACGCACCTCTCGATCCAATTTTGATGAAAAATATTTATAAAATTGCGGGAACTTGGTACATAAACTTGGGAGAGAAGAGTATTGAGTATAATTTGAAATTTCGATTCTACATGACAACGAAATTACGAAATCCTCACTATTTACCGGAAGTTTATAATAAAGTGACGTTGATTAATTTCGCGTTGACTATCGAAGGACTGGAGGATCAATTATTGGGTATTGTGGTGGCGAAAGAGAGACCTGATCTTCAGGAGAAACGGGAGTATTTGATAGTGCAAAGTGCTGCGAATAAGAAGGCACTCAAGCAAGTTGAGGATCATATTTTGAAAACTTTGTCTGTCTCGGGTGCGAGTATTTTGGAGGACGAGGAAGCAATTGAAATTTTGGATTCTTCGAAAATTCTTTCCATTGATATTCTTAAGAAACAAGAATCGGCGAAAGAAACTGAGGCTAAGATTGAAAACTTCAGACAGAGTTACAGACCAATTGCGAAATATGTGTCTTCGTTGTATTATACTATCACAGATTTGCCGAATATTGATCCTATGTATCAGTATTCTTTAGCTTGGTTTATTAATCTTTATGTTTTGTCGATTGACACTGCCAGCAAGAGCAAAATTCTAGAGAGAAGATTATATTTTTTGAGAGAGGCCTTCACTTACAGTCTGTATCAAAACGTCTGTCGTTCCTTGTTCGAAAAAGACAAGGTAAGGAAAAGAAAAAATATAATTTTGAATTTTGAATTGAAATTAATGGATATTGATAATTATTTATTTATTTACAGAACAAAATTTTTTAATGTTACATTAATTTTGTAATATTTGTTTTTTTCAGTTGTTGTACTCGTTCGTTTTATGCACAACTATTCTTCTGGCAAACGAAGAAATTAATAGAGATGAAATTATGTTCTTCCTGACCGGAGGAATAGCACTGGGAAATGAATTAGAAAATCCAGCATCCAGTTGGCTGTCTGATAAATCTTGGGATGAAATATGTCGCGTTGGTTCTTTGAAATCTTTCACAAATTTCATGGACAGCTTCAAAAAGAATACAAGCCTTTGGCAGAAATTTTACGATTTGATGAATCCACAAAATTCTCCTCTACCAGAACCTTGGGAGAAAAATCTGACCATGTTTCAAAAATTAATCGTTATGAGATTAATTAGACCTGACAAAGCAGTCGCAAAGGTAAGAATACAATTTTTATTATTAAAAGCCTCGTATTGATTTTAACGATGAGCCAAACAACTCGCTTTAGTCGATTAAAAAATTAAAAATAGAAAGAAAAGTCGAAAAAGTCGTTTATTTAATTCAGTGTTGTCACAAAAAATTTTATTTTATATTTCCATGATTCTTCACTGATTTATAAATTCAATTAATCAAACTCTAATAATTTTGCTAAATAAATATTTAAATAGGTACAGTGCCGCTCAATAACTTTTGCCCACCCTACAGCGATTGAGAGCTGTACAAAAAGTTTTGTATTTTGTTTATTATTAAAGATAAAAAGCTTAAAAAGGTCTCTTTTTAAAGCTCTTTTCCTGAGCTTTAACACTGTATAAAATAAAAATTAAAAAAATTAATTTGTTAATGTTTAAAAAATGTTATTGCAACATAAAATTTTTCGTTTTTTTTTGTTTTTTTTAAAGTGATACAGTTTGTTAGGAAATGGTCGCATTTTAATCCCACATATATTTTCTGAAAGCTAGTTTTATCACCTTTAAAGTGCATTTTTTAAAAATTTTATACGATAATTTTTAAGAAAAATATGATTTTTTGTTTAAAAAAATAGCAATTTCTTCCAATTGTTGACAACTCAAAAACGGTTACTTTAGGAAAAAATTTTTAAGAACATAAATTATTCCTTTTTATGTGCAGAATTAGAAAAAAAATATTAAAAATTTTTTTTTCAAAAAATTTTTTTTGACTTTTTTTGAAAAAAAAAATTTTTTTCAATTGTCGATAACTCAAAAACGGTTACTTTAGGAAAAAAATTTTTAAGAACATAAATTGTTCCTTTTTATGTGCAGAATTAGAAAAAAAATATTAAACATTTTTTTTTCAAAAAATTTTTTTTGACTTTATTTGAAAAAAATTTTTTTTTTCATTTTTTTATATTTTTTAGTTTTAATTGTAGAAACTCGCTTTTTACACTCATTACAGCAAGCAAGAAAATTTTTCATCGTATTTATTTAATTTTTTTCAATAATTTTAACTCACCAATCATTTAAATAAGTTTTGATATAATACTTATTTATTATATTGTTTGTAAACGGATTAAAGGTTCTTAATTACTTCGACGATTGTCATCATAATGTCAGTCTTGTGACAATTGTCGAAATCTGTCGATTACTTTTTCCATCTTTGTGATGCGTTGTTATTGCTATGCGCTCATCAGTAGTTAAATTTCGAGATTTCATTTTGCTGATTAATCAGAACATATAGGTAATGTTAATAATAAATTTAAATAATAAATATTTTATCCAATTTCGCGTATTTTCAAATATATAGAGAAAGACTTCCGATCTTTATGACAATTGTCACAAGACTGACATTATGATGACAATCGTCGAAGTAATTAAGAACCTTTAATCCGTTTACAAACAATATAATAAATAAGTATTATATCAAAAGTTATTTAAATGGTTGGTGAGTTAAAATTATTGAAAAAAATTAAATAAATACGATAAAAAATTTTCCTGCTTGTTGTAATGAGTGTAAAAAGCGAGTTTCTACAATTAAAACTAAAAAATATAAAAAATAAAAAAAAAAAATTTTTCAAAAAAAGTCAAAAAAATTTTTTTGAAAAAAAAATGTTTAATATTTTTTTTCTAATTCTGCACATAAAAAGGAACAATTTTTGTTCTTAAAAATTTTTTTCCTAAAGTAACCGTTTTTGAGTTATCGACAATTGAAAAAAAATTTTTTTTTCAAAAAAAGTCAAAAAAATTTTTTTGAAAAAAAAATTTTTAATATTTTTTTTCAAATTTTGCACATAAAAAGGAATAATTTATGTTCTTAAAAATTTTTTCCTAAAGTAACCGTTTTTGAGTTATTAACAATTGAAAAAAATGGCTATTTTTTTAAACAAAAAATCATATTTTTTTTAAAAATTATCGTATAAAATTTTTAAAAAATGCATTTTAAAGGTGATAAAACTAGCTTTCAGAAAATATATGTGGGATTAATATGCGATCATTTCCTAACAAACTGTATCACTTTAAAAAAAAACAAAAAAAACGAAAAATTTTATGCTGCAATAAAATTTTTTAAACATTAACAAATTAATTTTTTTAATTTTTATTTTATACAGTGTTAAAGCTCAGGAAAAGAACTTTAAAAAGAGACCTTTTTGAGCTTTTTATCTTTAATAATAAACAAAATACAAAACTTTTTGTATAGCTCTCAATCGCTGTAGGGTGGGCAAAAGTTATTGAGCGGCACTGTACTTCTTATTTCTTTTTCACGGTAAATAAAATTTTAAAAACTTTAACTTCTGAATTTCTTAATTTCTAAAAATTACAACTAAAAATTCAAATTATTATTCCAAAATTCAATTATTTTCTACAATCATGTTTAACTGACATCATCTCTATATCAATTATCTATATTAATTTTTTAAAAATATTCCGAAAGTTCTTCGAGAATTCAATTATTTCAATACAAAAATTCAATTCTTTATAATGATTGAAACTGTCTATTTTTCTTTTTAAAGATATTAAGGTAAAATATTTTTTTTGAAAAATTTTAATAAAGAAATTCTTAAAATTAAATTTTTTTAAATATTTCTAAATAATTTTTGAAAGACAATATTTTTACAATTACGTGCAATTAAAAAATGTCCAAAATAATTGAAATTTGGTAAAATCTTTTAAAAAATAATTGAAATTTAGTAAAATCTTTGACAAATAATATAAAAAAGAATCAAATTTTTTAAGAAAATTAAAAATGATTTCTCCGAAATTTTAAAAAAGAAAATTTTAAAAAATTTTAATTTACTTTGTACGAGAAGATATTAAAAAAATTAAAATTTGATAAAATCTTTTAAAAAATAATTGAATTTTGGTAAAGTTTTTGAAAAATAATTTAAATTTGGTAAAATGTCTGAATATAATTCAGTTTTTGGAAAATATAAAAGAATAATCAAATTTTTGAAAAAAATTAAAAAATGATTTCTCAGAAATTTTAATAAGACTAAAAAAGTAAATTAAAAAAAAATGTAATTTACTTTGTTTAAAGGTATTCAAAAATTTGAAATTTGGTAAAATCTTTTTAAAACAAATTGAAGTTTGGTAAAATCTTTGAAAAAAAATTGAAATTTGGTAAAATCCTTTAAAAAATAATAGAAATTTGGTAAAATCTTTGAAAAATAATTAAAAGTTGATAAAATCTTTTCAAAATAATTGAGTTTTTGGAAAATATAAAAAAATAATCAAATTTTTGAAGAAAATTAAAAAATGATTTCTCCGAAATTTTAATAAGACTAAAAAAGTAAATTTAAAAAAATTTTAATTTACTTTGTTCAAAGGTATTCAAAAAATTGAAATTTGATAAAATCTTTTAAAAAATAATTGTAATTTGGTAAAATCTTTGAAAAATAATTAAGTTTTAGGAAAATATAAAAAAAATCAAATTTTTAATTTTCTTCAACTATAAAAAAATAATCAAATTTTTTAAGAAAATCAAAACTGATTTCTCTGAAATTTTAATAAGGCTAAAAAAGTCAATTTTGAAATATTTTTTTGGACTTTGTTCAAATCTTAAAAAATTATGATTAAACAATTCGAAGAATTAGTTTTTTATAAATATTGTAATGTAATTTTTTAAAATAATTGAATTTCTGAGAAGAATTTTTGTATAATTTTAAAAAATCTAATTAATGTTTTGAAAAATTATATTTAAAAATTTTGAACATGATCTTTTTCTCCAAAATGTTAAAATTAATTCTTAAATGTTATTATTTTTTTATGTATTTGAATTTTCGGAAATATGTAATCGAAAATATTAAAAATAATTAAATTTTTAAAAATTAGAATGAAAAAATTCCGAGAATTAGTTTATTCAAAAATATTTTAATATTTTTGTAACCTAATTTTCATTAATTTTCATTTGTATTAAATTAAAACTTGAAGATTTTTGATTATAATTTTTGAGAATTAAATTATTTCCAGAGTTTTCAATTAAAATTTTTTAAAACTTAATTTTCAAAAATTGTAATAAAATACTTGAAAAATATTATTTATATTCAATTAAATTTTACAAAATTTCAATTATTCAAAATCTTTTTAATTGTATATTTCAAAAATTTAATTAGAAAAATAATTGAAAAATAACTTCTCAAAGATTTGTATATTGTTATACTTTTCACACTATAAAAATCGAAATAAGTTGCATTTTATAGTAAAAATGTGGTAGTTGCAAACTTTAGAAGAAAAGTCGAAAAAGTCGCAATGTTTTAATATAAGTCGATAAAAGTCGCATTATTCGAAAATAGTGGAAAAAAGTCGAAAAAGTCATAATATCCGAGGCCTATTATTATTATTACAATTTTCTATTTATAAATTATTAATTTCTTTATTTAATCAATATTTATTTAAAAATTCTTATTACAGGTGATGCAATTTGTGGAAACAGTAATGGGAATGAAATTTGTAACACCACCGCCATTTGATCTTGTAAAGTCGTACGCGGATTCAAATTGCTTGAATCCCTTGATATTCATTCTTTCCCCCGGATCAGATCCAATGAGTTCTCTGTCGAATTTTGCCGACAATATGGAATACACCTCGAGATTTACTTCAATTTCCCTAGGACAGGGTCAGGGTCCAATTGCTCGAAAACTCATTGAACAAGGACAAGCCGATGGATCGTGGGTCTGTCTTCAAAATTGTCATCTCGCCGTCTCGTGGATGCCGGAACTTGAAAAAATATGCGAAACATTCGACGCAAGAAATACTTCTGTCAATTTTCGTTTGTGGTTAACCAGCTATCCTTCGGATAAATTTCCGATTACGGTTCTACAAAATAGTGTTAAAATGACAAATGAACCGCCAACTGGATTGCAGTCGAATTTATTACGGTTAGTCAGTGCTTTTATTTTCTGATTTTTGGTAAAAAGTACAAAAAGTTCGGTTTTTTGTACTTTTTACCCAAAATTTGTGTCCTTTATATTTTTGAATTGAAAATATTAATTTTATAGATCGTACAAGTCGGAACCGGTCAAAAATCCCGAATTTTTCGAGGGCTGTCCTGGAAAGGAGAAAACTTTTACGAGATTGTTGTACAGTTTGTGTTTTTTTCACGCTGTTGTGCAAGAAAGACGAAATTATGGATCGCAAGGGTGGAACATTGCATATGGTAAAGGGAAAATATAAAATAAAATTAAAAATTAGTAATAATTGTAAATTAGTAATTTAGTAAATAAGTAAATTAGTAAATTTTTTGATTACTTTAAATTATTTAAATATCTACTATTAGTTCACTTTTTAATATTTTGTGTATGTTTAGGTTTCAACGAGTCGGATTTCCAAATATCTGTTCAACAACTTCAAATATTTATCAACGATTATGAAGAAGTGCCCTTTAAGGCAATTTTATATTTAACTGGTGAGTGTAATTATGGAGGGCGAGTCACTGACGACAGAGATCGAAGATGTATAAATACAATTCTTTTGGATTTTTACAATACTGACGTGATTACAAATTCGCAGTATACTTTTTCAAACGTTGGACCAGAATATGCTCTTCCTAAAAGGTAACTATCTCAGGGTTGTCACAAAAGTTTAATTTTGTTTTACCCTCATTTCCAGACAAAATTTTGACTTCTTTTCTGACTCTAAAGAATATTCTGATTCATTCTAAAAGTTATTAAATACTCAAAAAAATGTTTTAATACAATAATTATAATTGTAATAAAATATTTTTTTGAGTATTTTTTTAATTAAAGAAATTTGTAAATAATTATTTACGAATTTCTTTAATTGTAAAATTATTCGAAAAAATCAATAACTTCTTTTCTACATAAATATTTAATTATTATTATTATTTTTCTATAGGAATTAAGATTTTCAAAAATTTCAAATTCAAACCTTTTGAAATTCAATAACTTAGAAAAATATTATAATAAAAACATATAATAAAGAAATCGATCACTCCGAGTCTTCGACTCGGAGTTTTCGATTTCTTCATGTTTTATAATAATTATAGATGACTGAGTGAAAAAATCATTATTTTATATTATAAAAATATTGTTACTTTAACTTTTTCAAAATTATTTTCATCATTTTAACTTTACATGAATATTTTAATTCAATTATTATTTTCTACAACTTTTAACTAAAGTTCTTCTTTAAATCAATTATTTTGAATAATTTTCGAAAAAGTTCTTAGACAATTTTTAAATCCATTTATTTGCAATTCAATTTCATTAAATTTCGATTATTCGGAAATCTTTAATTAAATTTGTATTTAAAAAAACTTCAAATAATTTCAAGAAAATCTAAATTAAAATTTAAAAAAATTTAGTTGTACAGAATTGTTAATTAAAAGTATGAAAAATTCAGATTTACAAAAATTTTAATTTTAAACTTTTTCAAAATTCAATTATTTCTAAACATTTAAGCTATAATATTAATTTATTTTTAATATTCAATAATAATTGAAAAAAAAATTTAAGATAATAATCTTAAATTTTTAATGAAATTTATTTTTAAGACAATTTTTATTAAAAAATTCTGCGAGAATTCAATTATTTAAATATAAAAATAAATAATTTATTGAATAATTGATTCCTTCTTAAAATTGAATTTTCATAAAGAATTTTATAAAAAAATTTTTAAATAATTCAATTTTTTCGACGAATTTTACTAAAATTTTTTACAATAATTAGATTGTTTAAGAAATTTTATTAAAATTGTAGTAAAAATAATAAAAATTCTACGATGAGTTTTCTTATTTATGTAAATAATTGAATTCCTAAAAAGAATTTTATTATTCTTGAAAATAATTGAATTATTGAGAAGAAATTTATAAAAAATTTGTAAATAATTGAATTCCTGGGAAATTTTTATTATTTAGGAAAATAATTAAATGTTTGCTTAGAATTTTATCAAATTTTTTTTAATAATTGAATTCTTTTGGAAAATTTTATTAAAATCGTAGAAATCGAAAACCAATGAATTGAGGAAAATTTTTGGAAATAATTGAACTTTTACCAAGAATTTTATTAAAATTTGTAAAAATAATTGAATTTTGAAGGAGAATTTTATTACTTTTAAAGATAATTGACATTTTTACGAGAAATTTTTAAAAAAATTTTGAACATAATTGATTTTTTGCGAAGAATTTTATTACTTTTGAAAATTTTTTTTTAGAGTTTCTAATTATAATTCTTAAAATTATTATTTTTATTAATAATTTAAATATAATTTCAAAGGAATTGGAATTATTAAAATGTTCGAAATAACTAAGTTTTTAAAATTTTCTAATTAAAATCATTCAAAATTTAAATTTTCTTCAATTCAAAATAATAGAAATTCTGCAATGAAACTTATCAAAGTTTTTAAGAATAATTGAATTCTGATATTTTATTAAAACTGTATTAAAAATAATTGAATTCTTGCAAAGAATTTAAAATAATTGAAATACTGACAAGAAATTTATCAAAAATGATAAGAACAGCTGAATTCTTTTGACAAATTTTATTGAAAATAATTGAATTCGTGCGAAAAAATTCAAAATAATTGAATTTCTGTAAAGTAATTTATCAAAATTTTTAAGAGAATAATTGAATTCTTAAAAAGAATTTCATTATTTATGAAAATAATTAAATTATTGGGAAGAAATTTATAAAAAATTTGTAAATAATTGAATTCCTGGGATATTTTTATTTAGGAAAGTAATTAAATGTTTGCGTAGAATTTTCTCAAAATTTTTTTTAAAAAATTGAATTCTTTTGGAGAATTTTGTTAAAATCGTAGATATTGAAAATATCTACGAGAAAAATTTTTGAAAATAATTGAATTTCGGAGATGAATTTTATTATCTATAAAGATAATTGGAATTTTTATGAGAATTTAAAAAAATTTTTTAGCATAATTGATTATGTACCTTTTTTTTGGAGTGCGTCACATTTAGAGAATTTAAAAATTTATTTTTGTTAAAAATTATAATTTATAAATATACTGTTTTATTTTATTTTAAATTTAAAAATTTCTTTAAATTTTATTTTCTTTGTTTTAGGAACGAGTATAAGGATTACATTAAACAGATCGAATCCATTCCTTTCACAACTCAACCCGAAGTACTTGGACTACACATGAATGCTGGAATAACAAGAGAGTTGGATATTTCGAAAAACTTTTTCGATTCGATGGTTCAATTACAAGGAACAGTGTCAATTGGCGAAATTTCAAAACAAGACGAATTGCTCCTCAATATAAAAAACGATATTTACGACAGGCTTCCAAATTTATTCGACATAGAGGAGGCACAAAAAAAATATCCTGTCGACTATATGGAATCAATGAATACTGTTCTGACTCAAGAAATGGAAAGATACAATATTCTTCTGTATGAAGTCAAAAATTCACTGGCAATGCTCGAGAAGGCAGTTAGAGGACTGATAGTGATGACTCCTGCTCTAGAGGTACTGAAAAATTCATTTACTTTAATTGAATATAAATCAATTATTAATTTATTTTATTACTAAAAAATTATTAATTTATTTTATTACTAAACTAGCTGCCTTATTACTAAATTTATATTATTACTAAATGCAATAAATTATTTATATTTTCAGACACTTTCCTCTTACATGTTGAATTCAAAACTTCCTCCAACTTGGGCGAAAGCAAGTTCATATCCAAGTTTGAAACCTCTTCCGAGTTTTATCAATGACTTTCTCGAGCGACTTAATTTTATTTCGAAATGGCTGGAAAATGGAAAACCATCTACTTTCTGGATATCTGGTTTTTCGTTTGTACACTCTTTCTTAACGGGTGCCACACAAAATTTTGCGAGGAAATACAAGATACCTATCGATCGAATTGGCTTCGAGTTTCAAGTAAGTTTATATTTGTTTTTAACATTATTGTCATTATAAACTTTAATGGTTAACTGAAAAATTTAGGTACTGTCAAAATTTGAATCGAAAACTGCGCCAGCAGATGGTGTTTACACCTACGGTATGTTTCTTGTTGGGGCGAGATGGGATCTTGAGAAAATGAAACTCACGGAGAGTATTCCAAAAGTTCTTTGGGACGAAATGCCTTTAGTTTGGTTCAAGCCTATGGAAACAATGAATATTCAAATTCGGGAACGATACGAGTGTCCGTTATACATAACTTCAGCTCGATTTGGTGTTTTAAAGACTACCGGTCATTCTTCTAATTATGTTCTGTCGATTTTGCTAGATACTGATTTAGACGTAAGGCATTGGATAAAAAGGGGTCTTGCACTTTTATGTCAACTTGATGATTAAAAATTGATTTAAATTTAATAGATGAATATTAAAAGATTAATTTTAATGGATAAATATTAAAAGATTGATTTTAATAGATAAATATTAAATACTTCATTTACTTTTTATTATTCAATCTTCGTTTTCTTTAAATATTTCGAAAGTCGTGCTACAAAAGTGCAGAATAGAAAGGAAATGGTAAAAATTTTCGGAAATGCCCACAATTTTCATCTTTTTCCAAAAAAAACGGGCCAAAACTGTAAAATAGGCCATTTTTGTCAAAATTTAAAGCAAAAAAACTGCACAAAGACCACGCTTAATTTTTAAAAATGTCCTAATGAATTGTTTATTTAGTAACAAAGAATATAGTATAAAAATAGTCTGAATTTTCGGAAATGCCCAGAATTTTCATCTTTTTCCAAAAAACGCTCAAAGACGTCCACAAATTTCATATTTTTTTAAAAAATGGGCCAAAACTGAGAAATTATTTTTTTTTTATGTATTTCATTAAAATCTTTTGAAAATCAATTTTTGATAATTTTTGATTAAAATTTTTGAAAATAATTGAACTCTCGAAAAATTTTAATAAAAAATCTTCAAATAGGAATTTAATAATGAAAATTAAAAATAATTAGCTTTCAAAAAATTGTATCAAAATATTTTTTAAAATAGTAATTACGCACTGAAAAAATTTATTTCATTCAAATAACAGATTATTTGTGTATTATCAAATAAATAATTACTTAAATGAAATAAATTTTTTTTTATGTATTTCATTAAAATCTATTGAAAATCAATTTTTGACAAATTTTAATTGTCGTTTTACTACTTTTTTAAAAAAGTAATTCTTCGCCTTTTTTTCATTACAATTTTTGTAAATCGAATTGTTTTCAATATTATTAATTGCAATGAAAACAAATTTATTTGATTCAAATCACCGATTATAATTATTGTGTATTATCAAATAAATTAAGTCAATTAAATTGTATTCGAACCAATAACTTCAGTATTTTAAACAAATATGAATTGAACCATTTAATTGATTTAAATAAAAATTATTTGATTCAAGTAAATATTTATTTGATAATAGCCAACTAATTGTTTATTTGAATCATACAAATTTTTTTCCTCGGAAAAACCGTGAATTAGGAAAGTATTTAAACTGTTTAAACATATTTTTTATAATACAGACTTAAAAATAAGTTGTGTTCGAATAAATACAACTTTCAAATCTTGTTTTATTTTGTTTAAGAAAGATATTGCTTTTTAATAAAAGCAATATTATTATAATTTATTTATTTTATTATATTAATATTATTATTAATTTAATAATTGATTATTTATTTTATTTAGTCTTTATTTTAATTTTTTTAATTAAGATATTGCTTTTTTAGTGCAAATTTATTTTATTATTTTATTTATTATTATTTAAAAACAAAACGTACTTATTATTAAGTAAACACAGTTTTTCTGCAAATATCAAATTGAGACAAAAAACGAATCAAAAGTGTTGCGAAGCAACGACGTTTTGATTCGTTTTTTGTCTCAATTTGATATTTGCAGAAAAACGGAGAATAAATATTGTGCGACCACTTGCAAGAATTACGAACATTTTAGAACACTTTTGATACTAATTTTTATTTCCAAATTCAGTCCGAGGCCTGTAACCGTAATACATCAATTTCCATTAAAATATTACAATGTATGCCCCCATAACGCATGTCGTAATTGTTATGTAGATTACAATATTTAATTAATGAAATCATCTACTTTCGGAAGCATAGAACTTAAATTTTTAAATTTACAAAAAACGGGATTTTAAATTATATTCTACGATTTATTTTTTTTTTATTAATAACTTAATTTCCTGGAATTTATTTTAAAATTTTCCGCCATAAAATGACATTTTTCTCTGGTCGTATATATAAAATGAGAACCACTGAGTTGGCACTTGAAGTTGTAGAGAGTAGAGGGGGGCCGATCAAAGCCAGTGCTTCGCGGGTGTGTGTGTTGCACTGTTGTGTGCTCTTGTGCTGTCGATTTACCTCCTGGAAAATTTAAAAAAAACTCTCCATGGGAGCCCCACCCGAAACAATCAGAAATGTAAGTGATTTTTTCAATTCTATGCTAATCTTAAGATAGAGGTTATTGGCATGTAGAATTTACGAGAAAGCCGGCAAAACGCCTAGCAGTAAAATGATCAATGAACTCTACTTGCTTTCGTGTTTTGGGGCGTGCTATACTATTCGTTCAAATCAAAAGATGGACGGACAGACATAAACTGTAGAAAAAAGAGTTGTGTTGTTTTTTTTGTTTTTTTATTGCTTCTCTTGTAAATAATACTTTTTTTTTAAATACTTGAAACAAAAGGCAAGATTTATGTTTTCTCTGTCTTGATCATTCGGTCCATGGATTCTGACTGCATTTCTGCTAGAAATGGCGTTCTGACCATCTTTGAAAAACTTAACTGTTGAGAAATAAAAACAGCTATTCATGTCAGTAAATGAAACTTGTCTTGAAGAGTAAATTCTGATTTCGTTAATTTAATTTCAAAAAATTAGATTTAATTCTGTTTATTCGCTGATAGTTTAAAGTTGTATGTAGCTTACTCTATTTTGGAGTATCTCGAAACTATTTTTTATTAATTGGATTGTTTTCTTTATTTATTTGGAAATTGATATTATAAAAACGATTCTGTATAAATAAAACAAGTTTTAGTTTATTTTTTTAAATATATTATTTAAAGAGTACAATATTATTTTAAACGTTTTAAACACTACGAAGAAAGTTAACTTTTTGTTGGTGTGATACAAGAACGCTTTCTTAATATTAATTATTTAGTAATTTCGACAATCAAAACGGCTTACAACACTTTGGAGTTTATACATCTTTCAATGTTGCGTGAAACGTGATACACGTTATTATGAAAATTTTGTTACATTTAACCTGGATTTTTTAAAATGCTGATTCAGGTGAAAATTTCATTCATTTCATATACTGATAAAAATTAGTTTACGTTCGGTAAATAATTATCTACTCGTAATATTATATTCAAATTATCATTTACTTTTTTTTATCATGAATTAAATATTTTTCTCTCATAGATATTATAACTGTGAATACAGCATGTTCTATTAATGCATATTTTGAATTTTTAATGCACTTTCTAGTTTCAAGTGATGGTAATTTTACTTTGGTTATTAATGGTTAAAATTAGTCAAGTTTAATTCATGAATGTTTAAGTGATTTTTTGTGTTTAATTGTGTTTATGTGTTATAAAAAGGGAAAAGAATTATAAAAGTGTACCCACAAAAGTTTTAATGTTCAATAGAACGAAATTTCTTTTCTTTCTTTTTCGAATTTAAATTTTATTGTCACATTATGTCGCGTATTAAAACAATTATTTATGGTTTCAAGTTGTTGCTAAATTAACTTTTTTCAGTTTTTGTTTTAGTTACACTAAAAAAATTTATTTGATCCAAATAACAGATTACTTGATTATTATCAATTAAATATTTACTCAAATAATTTTATAAAGCTGAAATTAAGACCCAGTTATCAGGAACCACTTATTCTTTCATTATGTTGGTATTAAATAAAATAAATATTTAACTTTAAAATTAAATTTCCAAAATTAAGTTGATGCTGATAATTTGATGGCATTATTTGATAATGGACAAGTAATCGGTTATTTGAATCAAATAAATTTTTTTCCAGTATTGTATTTTATATGAGTAAAAATTTAAATTGGAAGAATTTTTGGTTCATTACTTTTCAAATTTTTGGAGCTTATATTAAGGATGCAAAAAATTGAATAATTTTGAAGTTTTGAACGCTCAATTAAACGCCGGTATTTTTCTTACTACTTTTAATTTATATTTAATTAAAAAAAATTAGTCCTAAAGTTTTGAACGTTTAAATGAACGCCGGTATTTTTCTTTCAACTTTTAATTTGTATTTAATTAGAGAAAAATGTCGCTAATGTTTTGAGTGTTCAAATGAACGTTATTATTTTTATTATTACTTTTAATTTGTATTTGTTAAAGAAAATTATTTTGTGTATTAAAAGAAATTAATTAGCAACGAAGTAAATTTTGAATTTTCAATAATTTTTTTTCACTATAGTAATTTTTTAATTTCCATAGAAAAAAAAATTTTTGTTCATTTGAACGTTTAAAACTTTCGTAAAATTAAAAAAATATGAAAGTTAATTGTTAACAAATTAAATGGTGAGTTAATATTATTTTTCAATTCAGTATAGTAATTATTTTCTTAAAGATTTTAAAGATATGAACAAATATTTTTTTGTATTTAAATATTTTCAAAAATTACTGGGATAAAATTAGAAATAAAATGAATTCAACATTTATACAATGAAAAATAAATTGTTTAATTTAAAAAAAACAATTACTTGCGTCAATTATCAAATAAATATTTATACTAGAATCATAATTTTATTAAAATCAATGCTTCAATTATTACATCAAGAAAATAACTTAAATCTATAATATATTTTTTTAATTTTATTTTTTGAGTTGAATTCAATGTTTATAAAATAAAATAGAGCAGAAAATATTTTGACCCCTACATAATTTCAGATCACAATTTTTATAACATAAAAAAATATAAAAATATTATTGTAAAATTGTGCTACGAAATTAGTATAAAAAATAATCAAATGAATTTTCAAAATAAAAAAGTGAATACCTATTAATGGCAATTTTTTAGATATTTCAGCCTAAAAAAGGTATTTTTTTTTAAAAAATGCTTCAAAAATTGTAAAAATCAATTTTTTTAATTCAAAAACACATATTCTACTAAATTTCGCATGGATTTCAAAATTTACTCTAATTTTTAAGAAAAATAAGAATTCAAAAAGGGTCAAAACATTTTTTTTTTTAATTTTCTGCTTAAATAAATTTTTTTTCTTAAAAAAATGCTTCAAAAACTGTAAAAATCAATTTCTTTTATACAAAAACACATTTTCTACAAAATTTCACACGAATTTCATAATTTACTAATTTTTAAGAAAAATAAAAATTTTAAAAAGAGTTAAATAATTTTTTTTCTAAACAATTTTAATAAAATGGCAATTATTTAGAATTTTCAGCCTAAAAAAATGCTTCAAAAAATGTAAAAATCAATTTTTTTAATTAAAAAACACACTTTCTACAAAATTTTGCAAGGATTTCAAAATTTACTAATTTTTGAGAAAAATAAAAATTCAAAAAAGAGTCAAAACATTTTTTTTTCTAAACCATTTTATATTAATGGCAATTGTTTAGAATTTTCAGCCTAAAAAAAGTATTTTTCTTAAAAAAAAGGCTTCAAAAATTGTAAAAAAACAAATTTTTTAATTCAAAAACACATTTTCTACAAAATTTCGCATGGACTTCTAAATTTACTAATTTTTAAGAAAAATAAGAATTTAAAAAGTGTCAAAACATTTTTTTTCTAATTTTCTAATTTTTTTTTCCTGAATAAATTTTTTTTCTACAAAAATTGTAAAAATCTATTTTTTTTTATTCAAAAATACATTTACTACAAAATTTCGCACGGATTTAATAATTTACTCATTTTTAAGAGAAATAAAAATTCAAAAAAGAGTAAAAACCTTTTTGTTTTTTCATTTGTTAAGTTAACAAAAAAATATATTTTCCAACAAAATTCAAATTTTGCCGAAATTTAAAATAATTGTCGTTCAAATCTTAGTAAATTTGGGAAAATATTTCAGAATACAAAAAAATATTTCGTTTACTTGAAATTCAAAATTTTAGTGAAATGAAATTTCCACTTAAAAAAATTCTTTTTCTAAGTATTATTTTTTAAAAAAATAAATAATAATGTTTATTTAATTATAATTAAATAATTCAATTAATAATCATAATTATCGATATTATAAAAGTAAGAATTAACATTTATTAAATATACAGAAGATTGTTTTAATATATTCTGTTAAAAAGAGCATTGCTTGAATAAAGATTTAATAGGTGTATACACAGGGAAGAAGAAATACGCTAAAAAATCCAGTTTTCTGGAATAAAAACTCATATTTGATTTTTTTAAACTAATAATTATTTAATGGGTCTTGCTTTCACTTTTGAAGGCAATAATTTTTTTCTTCATGTTTCTGGATATTAAGATTAATATCCTGAATCAAGAAGAAAAGAAGGTCACTCAAAAAGCATGTAATTTGCACGCAATTGCTTCTTTTTACGTAAAAAATTTTCCACATTGCTTGAGGATTAAAAATGTTTAAAACTTGTATTATGGAAACATGTATGAAAATGAAGTTCAATATTATGCATATTTTTTTGGAATATAAATAAATATCGAAATTTTTAATTTGTTGAGACGAAGAATATAATAATTATAAGCAAATTTAAAGAATTGAATAATAAAGCAAATTCTATTTATTTATAATTTAATTACAATTGATAAAATAATTTTCATTATAATTGTGTAATTAAAATAATTCTCCAATTTAATAATTATCGAGATAATTATGAATAATAATAAATAATAATTAATGATAATAAATAATAATAAATAATAATGAATAATAATTATAAATAATAATTATATTAAATAAACATAGCCCCAAGTGGTATTACATTGACTTTTCAAAGCGACAGTTTCAATTTTATTTAATATTTAATTTGCATACAATATATAGTAAAAAAAAATATCTATCCCTGAAACTCTATATTTATATAAATAATAAATTGTGTCAAGAACGTGACAAACGCACTATAAACCTTTAAATTTTTTTTAGCACCTTTACAAAAAATTATATCTGATTTTTTTCTCGTAACTATTCCTCTGTTAATAATTGTTATCGATTAGGCACTTTTATATTTACTTCTGAAATAGAACAAATAAGTAATAAAAATATTTGAGTTTTTTCTAATAAAAAAAGGAATTTTTTTTACGTAGAAAATTTATTTTCTTGAATACATGTTTTAAAATTTACTTTACTTTTTCTAAATTATGAAATGGTAATCAATTTCTCTAAATTGTTTTGAATTTAGAGAAATTGATTACCATTTCATTTTCCGAGTAGATATTATTTGTAAGTTGAAAGAAACGTTTTTGATCGCGAGAGAGTTCTTGAATGGGATAATAAAATAAGGAAACTTTAGATATTGGGAAAAATAGAATTGAGAATTGTATTTTTCTCTTTTTTGGCTTGAATTTTATTTTCGTAATTTTCAATTCAAAGTCTTCACGAGTCATTGTGTGATAAAAGTTCAGTGCCTCGTCAAAATTCAAATGTGGGGAAAAAAATTACTGAAAAGAGAAAGTTATTTTTTTAAAATAAACAAAATTTTCTTCTTTCGTAACTGTGCTTCCGCATTGCTACTTGATGTTGCCATCTGACAACATTGATAAGAATGTTTGTTTTAATCGGCTACTAGATATTCGGTTTTTTTTCACTAAATGAAACTTTCATTTGTCAACATATTCACGTGTATCACATAATATTCTGAATAAAAGATATTTTTCTCCAGATAAAATTAAAAAAAAGCTGACGATACGCTTCTCATCATATTGATATCTAAAATTGCAGTATTTGAAATTGCACAATACACTTTATATTGATTCGAAACAATTGAAGTGGAAAGTGATTTACAGAGGAGTAAACAATGTATTGTTTACATATTTACTATTTTTTTTTTGATTTAGTGTTTATATTTTAAAAATTGAATTTTTTTTTCTGCAGATGATGGGCACTACAACTGTGAAAAGTAATTTTACGCCCAGGGCGTAAATGAGTGTGAGAAATCATCGAATGAAGAGGAAAGAAATCCAGCAAATGTGTAAAAATGAATGATATAGAAAGCATCGGTATGAAAATGCCTCACAGTCATTCGACACCAGCCGGTGTCGATGGCGGAAGTCGAACGCCGCCCACAACCCCTAGAAAAGCTGGAAAGATGCTTGCGGTCCGAATTCAGATGCTTGACGACACCATCACGATGTTCCAAGTGCAGGTAATTTATTGATTTTACTTAAACGAATGCAATGACTAAGACCCACTTTCATATCCACTGTCAAAGGTCGCCTCTTAAGATGAATCAATTGAATCAATTTATTTTCGCTACCCAGAAACCTAATAAACTTTTAATGCCCTTATGACCGTTTTTAACGCCGTCACAGTTGCGAGTCGCTGCAATTTACTTTTGATACCTTAATGTCAATTTTGTTAATTTATAAAGAAAAAAAAATTCTTTTCGTATTCTGTTAATTGTACTTAATTTTTAACACTTTTGGTCCATAAAGTTCCAAACATTTAAATGAAGGAAATTTAATTAATTCTTCTTTAATTATTCTAATATTCCAACTCGTGTTAAAAAAATTAATTATGGTTCTAAATTTATTTAATTTTTATTTCTATATCTGGCACTAAGTAAATTTTTGTCTGACGCTCAGCGACGAAAAATATTTTTTTTTTGTATTTTTGGAGAAAAAAATGGCACTAATTTTATTTCTTTCATTCAAGAAATTTCACTCTGGATTTAAAAATATGTTAAAAGCACTTTTTTCACCTGAAACCTTAAGAAAATGGATTTTTTTCCATTTCGAGAAAAAATTGTTTTCAGAACTTGTACACTGAAAAAAAATGTATTTGATTCAAATAACCGATTACTTGTCTATTAACAAATAAATATTTATTTTAATGAAATAAATTTTATTTAAATCAAATAAATTATATTTGAACCAATAAATTTTATTTAAGTTAAATAAATTATATTTGAACCAATAAATTTGATTTTTAAGTCAAATAAATTATATTTGAACCAATAAATTTGATTTAAGTCAAATAAATTATCTTTGAACCAATAAATTCAGTATTTGAAGCAAATACCATTTAATTGGCTCAAATAAAAATTATTTGATTCAAGTAAATATTTATTTAATAATAAATATCAAAAATAATAAATAATAAATAAAGTAATCGATTATATTTGGATCAATTAATTTTTTTTTCAGTGTTGATCGTAACATAACTTTCTAATAAACGACAATTTTTTTTTGGATTTGCTTTTAATTTAGATTTCTGAAATTGGCAAAATTATTGCAAAAAATTTTCTTTTCACAAAATTAAAAAAAATTAAAGAATACATTCAAAGATTTTAAAACTTAAATTCAGTGAGTTAAATAGAAAATTGAAGAATTTTAGGTGAATTAAAACAGTAAAATAATTAGCGTCCTTTTCATCATTGAAAACAAAAAAAAAATTCCTTTCCTTTAATTAAAAAAAAATAGTTTTTGACGCTGAGTGTCGACGACAACTTCAAGGAGCTTTTAATTTGTATTTTTAAAAGAATTATTCTTGACAGTAAGCAAATTAATTTTTAAATAAATTAAATATTACTAAATTTAAATTACCCTTTTAGTATATGTAGTAATTTTTTTTAAATATTTAAACAGAAAAAAAATCCGTTCATTTGAAGGTTCAAAATTTCAAAAGAATTTGCAAAACACAATTTTTTGTAGAAAGAGTTTTTTTCATCAATTACAAAAGAAATAAATAAATTTTTTCTCAAATGGTTATTAAAATCTTTTTTTAAACGTTTCTTTTTTATGAACCATTTTTAAAAGAAAAATTTTAAAACAAAAAATTTTATCGTTTTACGTGTCTGAAAAATATTTCTTTTTTCTTTCAATCGATGATCATAAAGGTTGTAAATTTATGTCAGTGAAGTTCACACAACCTTTATGATCAAAGATTGAAAGAAAAAAAAATTTCCAAGCGGAAAATAATAGAATTTGTTATTGAAAAATTTTTCTTTTTTAAAAAATTGATCAAGAAACTATGTAAAACAATTTCTACAAGCAAAAACTTGAGAAAAATTAAAAAAATATTTTTATTAAGTTTTTAACGTTCAAATGAACGAATAATTTCTTCTATTTAAACATTTTCGATAATTATACTAGAATGAAATTAAAAATAAAGTGATAAATTCAATCAAATGCTAAAAATAAAATAAATTCGACGTTTGTAGAAAGGAATTAATTTTCTAAATTAACAGAAATATATTTTTAAAAAAAATGCAAATTTTACTGAAATTAAAAAAAATTGTCGTTTATTCTTTCAAATTTTTAGGAAAATGAATTTTAGGTAGAAAAATATTTTTTCTTACAAATTGACTATGAACGTTGAGAATTTCATCAATTTGTCAATTTTTACGAATTTGAAAACTACAGTGGTACTTAAAAAAACTTTGTTAATATAGATATTAGTTATTAGTAAAATATAAATATTTTTATATTTATCTTGTTCATGTTTTAGTTATAACTAGTTATAACTAGTTTTAGTTATAATTTTTTACTTAGTATTAAATTTTTTATTAATTGATTCATTTAAATACACTATTCATTATTTTTATAAATTTGTTTGAAAAAAAAAATATTGATTGCAGGGTTGACACAGTTCAGGGAAAAGTCAGAGAATTTTATCAAAAGCACTACTGAAGAAAGTATGAAAGTTCTAGAATTGATAAAAAAAAGTTTTTAAACTTTGAAGTCACCAGGAATTTTAATACAAGACCTTAAAATTTTTTTTTCTTTTTCCGTCAATAATTAAACTTTACAGAATACGAAATTTACTTTTTTTTAAATAATTGAATTTTTCAAAGACATTCATAATTTTATTATTTCCAAATTGAATTTAACGATAATTTTTACTTATTGAAAATTGGAAAAATAATTGAATTTTGAAAAGTTGCGTTTGCTATTTTTATGATTAATTGAATTTTAAAAGGTTTTCAATTTGAATTTTTTGCTAGACTTTTGTGAAAAAATATTTATGTAGAAAAAATTATTAATGTTTTGAATAGTTTGTTTATATTTATTTATTGGCATAATTTTGACAAAGTTTTGAACTTTCAAATTAACGAAGTATTTTTCATTAGTTTTTGTAGTAATATTTTTCATAAATTACTGTCGAGGTAATAATGAAAAAAATAAAGAAAATTTTATTTAGAGAAGAACCTTTTTAAAATAGGAAAAAATTATTTTGCACTGAAAATCAAATTTGAATGAAGTATTTGAGAAAAAAATCACCGTTTATCAGATCGTTGGAAAATTTATAGAGACGTAAAAAGAACTATTAAAACAATTTTCAAAAGACAATATATTTCATACTTTATATTTTTTATTATTTTATTTATTATTTATTGGCGGAATTAAAGAAATTTTTACGACATATTATTTTTTGTATTAAAATTTTAAAGTCCGGTAGATAATAAATGTTAATTTACATAATGCTAAGCGTCTTTGGAAAAATTATTTATAAGTTTTGCTATACAACATTTGTCTCAATGTTTTTAAACAACTTCTATTCACTTCATTATATTAGATTAATACACACACCTTATGACTCATGAAATGCTTAATTCATTTTTAAAATGCTGTCATCAGAATATATTTCTGACGTTCTAAACATTCCAGTAAGCGAAAAATCTAAATTTCTAATTACAAAATTATCTAATTTTCATTAAATGTGAATTTTTTTCAAAATGATATTAATCATTCTATTATATGAAGATTCATAATATCTATTTATTCCCGCGGTTGTGTATTTTTTTTATTAATACATATTGTTTTTTTTCATATAGGTGAAAAACATGATAATTATTGCGAGATATATTTACCGGAAAATAAACTCTTTCTTTCTTTTTAATTATTCATTGCAGTATATTTTTGTGGAATATATTCAATTTTTCATACAATGCGGTGCAGATTTATTTATATCTCTGATCTTTTGGTATAATTCCAATTTCTCATTCTCTTTACCTCTTTTCATCTTTTATTATTAAATTGAATCAAGAGGAAAATATAAAAATGATATTTACTAGTTTTGATATATATATATATAGTTTCAACAATATCAACAAAATATATTAACATTTTTTTTTTCAATTTTTCAGAAATGATCAGTTTTGTTTCTTTCGATCATAAAAAGAAGTTTCTGATATTATAACAGTAACGACAACAATATCAACAGGAAAAATTGTTTTCCGGTGTATAAAAATTGTGTTTGCTTTCAAGAATTGAGAATGTTATATCTCGTCACAAACTTCCTATTGTACTTTAATTTACAATTTCATTTGTACAATTGCAGTCCAATTATATCAAATTTAATTTTATATTTTTTCTTTTTTTTTCAAATAAAAGTAATTTCAAATTTTGCTTTTAGAAAATTTTTAAAACTTAAATTTTAATTAATAAAGATCTTAAACTTATTCGTTTGGCCAAACAAATAAGGTTTAAGATCTTTATTAATTATAGTACATGGTTTTATAATTTTCTATTATCATTAAATTTTAATTAGTTCAATTAATTTTAATTTACAGTTTAAAAAAATTTAAATTAACTAAAAAATTTTTTAAATAAAATTAACTTCAAAGTTTGCTTTTAGAAATTTTTCAAAGGTTAAATTTTTATTAACAAAATTAATTTTAGGTTACAATTTTAAAAAGTTTAAATAATTGAAATTTAAATTAAGTGAATAAAAATTTTTCAAATAAAACAACCTCAAATTTTGCTTTTAGAAAATGTTTAATGCTTAAAATTTATTAAATTGATTTTAATCTCGATTTTAATTTACGATTTTAAAATTCGAATTTCAATTTTTTTAATAAAATTTACTTCAAATTTTGCTTGTAGAAAATTTTTAAAGATTGAATTGTAATTAATTTTAATTTACATTCTTAAAAAGCTAAAATTAGTTAAAATTAAATTTTTTAAATAAAATATAAACTACTTAAAAGTGTAAATTATAATTAATTTAATTAATTTTAATTTACAATTTTAAGCTAAGTCAAAATTAATTAAATTTAATTTTTTCAAATAAAATAAACTTCAAATTTTTCTTATGGAAAATTTTGAATGCTTCAAATTTAATTAAGTAATTAAATTAATTATAATTTACACAGGCCTCGGATATTTTCCGACTTTTTTCGACTATTTTCAAAAATGCGACTTT